CTTGATAGATTCAAGCGACTCGTGGATCGAGTGCAGTAGTGATATATACTTAGCGGAATAGTACTGTTTCACTAACTTCCTTAATTAATTGCGTTATGCCCTTGGAATGTATTCAGCTTGTTGCCTGCTTAGTTTCACTACCTTAATAGGAGCAACGGTATCTAGAAAAAGGGTAACATTCCTGTAAGATAAGGACACTGCAGCCTCCAGCGAGTCAGTGTCATCCCACTGACATAGTCAAATGAGTTCTTGGACTAATCCCCAGTCTATATGTTTGTAACTACGACATATCATGCTGCCTGAATCATGTTTGTTTGGTGTGTATGGTGGTGAGGGAGGCAGAGAGTAGAGTACCATTCTATGGTCACTACTGGGAAATATGCTACCAACATAGGTGGAAACTCGGATTGTGTCATGACGAAACACAAGGTCCAACATGTCACCACGGGTATGTGTGTGGACGTGTTGTTGCCATCCATAGCAACCGGTAGTGACAAATAACTCGTTGAAGCTTCGGGGGCCTGCAATTATTTTGTATTTATTTTATTTAGTATTAAACAAGGAGGCGTGTGCAAACGATTTAGCTAATAACTCATCAATTTCTCTAGTTGAGCATAGTGCTGGATAAACATAGCCTATGACAGGTTTGTACTTATCTCTATATTAGACGGTCCAGAGTGAATCATGTATACCATGCTGTATTTAGTCTTCCACCCTACTGACTATGAATAAGTTGTGTGTCTATATGAGACACCACTACGCTTGCAATCTCTATTTGTACTGTGTATAGTATGATCATCTGGACCTGTATGCACATCAAATATAGAAGATGAGCACCATGATTCATTTATCAGAGCTACAGTAAGCTTAGCGATTAATAATAATGTCCTTAGTTCACATATCTATTGATTAAGGAACGTGCATTAACTAGTAATATCGTGAATAGGTCACGAGATACTGTAAACTGGTTTAAAATACCATCAAAACCTAATTCTATTTGTGCGTCAGCACCGGAAGCGTTTATGAATGATAAGGGAGTCGGCTTGGGTGTCCATACATCGGAGTTAGAGTGAGACGAGGTGGTCCTAGGTGCCATGGGTCGTACAAGTGATTCGGGACACCTAAAATATTTACTGTGTGTTCCTGGATATACGGGCACTAGTGGTTGGGCCTGGGTTGTAGATTAAAAGGCATAGTATCATAAGGTCTACCCATCAGTCTGCTATTCGTCATACGGGTACGTGTCTTCGTGTTGTTTTTATAACTTGAACGACAGTGTGGGGGAAGGTGCTTCGGTTGCAGGACTTTGGGAGTTTATATAAGGCGGAGTATACTGAAAGCCACCAAATATACTTGTGTTTCGAGAGAATTTCTTCGTATCAAGTGTGGGTTTGTTAACGCACTTACTCTCAGCAGGCTTATTGAATACAAAGTATTCTTCCCCATTGTTTTGCTCAATTCTACGAAATTTTTTCACTGTGGTGAGGTTACTACGTTTGGGTACAAATTTCTTAGAACAACTTGCAGCAATTCTAGCTATTTTAACGCCTTTCAGTGAGTCTTTGTTTACAGGGATACTGATATCTAAACTAGTTCCTAGTTCCATTAGTAGGTGCGGTTGTTGTGTAGTTCGCTGAATGCGATTGTCAGTACTAGGTGACTTTTGCGGTACACGATCCACTTTTGGTAAATTTAAGCCAGAGTAGGTAACCAGATTATTACTATGCGTTATTCTGCGTTGACACGGTGTTTTATCCTGAGCTATGGTTGCATATTTATAACTGCTATTCAGTCTGAAGTGATCCTGAAATTTAGTAAAATGATGTGACAGTTAGCCTGGGTCAATTTTTACGAAGTATTTTGTATTCACATGGCACACTAGCCATGCCGCAATAATTCAGGATTTTGCTTTTTATAGTTTTCAGAGGCATTGAGTCTGGGATGTTGTAAACTATAGCTTGATGAGAAGAGGCTATACGCTTCATCATCTCCACAGCCAAGCAGTCAGTCAGATTTTCAGCTTTATTAAGGTTGCCCGGAAACATTTTAGGATGTTTTTTTAACAGGCAGGCTACTGGGTCCAAATCTGTCAGCTTGTTTTTAGTTACATCCAGTAAAGACTTAACCTGGTCAGTATCAAAATGGTTCTCCGTGATATTTGAGATTGGCAGTGTCATGCTATCAAACTGACCTAATTTTCCCTGAAGTTCCCTTACTTTCCCCTGGATACCTTTCACATGGCAGTTTAATTTACAGAACTCAGAGTTCTCTAATAGAGAATCTTTCAACTGTATCACAAGAGTGAGGACTACACTTTGGCACTTTTGTGAGCTAGTAGTTGATACCGTATTACAGAACAGTTATAACCGAGTTTAAGTCCCTATCTAAAACATTTGTGTTTCTGCAAACATATTTCTTAGAAATCTGGACCATAATTTGAATGATTATACATCAACAAGCTATAAATGAATATAAGAGAGAACACATAAAAAGATATCACAAATTTCGAGCGTAGAGATGGCTTAGTCCTCATGTTTATCGTAACTTAAACAGATATTTTATTGAATTTGAGATTTTCCCGTCGATTGATTGGACCGAAGTGCTCGGTCTCAGGTTGACATGTCGGCTTCTTGTGCAGATGTTTCGACGATGTCTGAGCATTTAGTTAGTATTTAATTGGTGGATGGTGACTGGCAGTGGGATCCAGGATGCGCATTTTGTCCTATTTGAGACTCGTCAGCTGGATGTACCTGCATTTCTCAGTGGCCCAAGTGGTCTAGTGGATAACGCTTTGGCGTTTGAAACTATGGGTACTGGATTCGAGCCTCGGTGGGAACATCATCACTCACTGAGAAATGCAGGCACATCCAGCTGACGAGTCCTAAATAGGAAGAAATGTGCATCCTGAATTCCACTGCTAATCACCATCCACCAATTAAATATTAAACAGATATTGTTTAAATGAAACTCTAAAAGTGCAACTTCTACCGCAGATATGGTTAATCAAAACTTGTTTTAATTCAGAACGATAACCATGTAACATTGATATTACTACATACCCTGGAAGCCTGCTGAAATCACTGGGCTACCTAACTTTTCTACTCATAAAAATGTATCTTATTGACCCTACTTCATGTTATTTTAATTATCAGATTATATCTCTGAATTACAATTTATTCTCACACCTATTTTTAAATAGGATTCAACATACTACTGTTGATATTTTCGAGAAAAGAAAGAAAAAAGGCATAGCAGGTTTTAAGCGTGTGATTTGGACAAAATAGTATAACTTCAGGTTGTATGTGGTCGCTTATTAATTTTTTTATCTAAAGATTCTACACACGGTTTAAATACATTGCAGTAGAACATGCTGAGAATTCCGCTGCGTTTTGTTTTATTCCTTTACGTTCCCAGTGGAAAATAGGGCTTCAAGCTATATGCTTGAATTTTCAGTAGCAGTGGTATTTATTTTTACGGGATGGGACTGCTGGCCTCATGTTCAACCTTCCCTCTTTACCAGTCTTAATACTGGCTTAGCGATGTAAAGGAGTGCGTCGGCCAGAGATTGAACCCCGGATCACATGCGCAGTATATACTACAGCATTTTCCAGGAAAAGTTATTATTTTTATATTAAGTCCAGTGTTAGAAGTGACTTATTTGTATAATTTCAACGAGGACGTCTTCATTAATTCACTTAATCCAATATGCAATAGTGAAAATCGCGAAGAAACTTAAGTCGGAATTAAGAACCCGTCTAATATCCCCTATCTATGCAAATGCTTAAGTTTTTGAGCACTGTATCTTTCAATTTCGAAACAACGCAATCTATCAGGTTAAACATTGGAGTATCCTAACTTTTTGAAAAATAAAGCACCGGTTGATCATCACTTCAAACGTTTTAAAACTGTCCATCTACAGACATCTTACTTTGCCATATGTTTAAACTACAATGTTTTAAATGCAGATTACTACGGTCTTATTATTTATTCCCTAGGATTCCTAGCAGAATATTGGGCTTCGGCAGTCCTTCTTCATTTCATCCCATTCTTTGCAATCCTCAATAGTTGGCTGTACGATTGTCTTTGAGCTACAACTTTCGCATCACACAATCTCCTCCATGTCATCTTCATACCGATGACCAACTCATCGCTTACCATCTAGGTTCCAATAGAAAGCCTAGTATATGATGTCCCTCGACGGTTCCTTCACAGTATACCCGACCTACCCTTTCTTTCAGCATATTTGTTAGGCAATGCATTCTTAGTTGATTCGTTGCTTGACAGAGTTCCTCATCGCTAATCATTTCTGGCCATCTGATCTTCATCAGTACAAAGCAAACTCAGCTGTTGACAAAAGTCTCAAGACCGCTCAAAATGCCTTTCATGACACCTCAAATCCTTGAACCATATAGCACAACTCACTTGACATTAGTGCTGAAATTATAAATCTTGTTCTTTATGCTTACTGTAGTTGATTTTTGCACTGACTTCATATTAATGGAGATCCGTCTTGTCCCTCCGATCATAAATATTTTGAATTTTGAAGTTGCTGTCGGTACTAATACAATACAAAATAATGTTTATGAACCATCAATTCTATTATGCACATTTTATAAATGTGTAATCTAAACCTTAAAGTTGTGGAAACGTAGTCGGAAAACACATGTTACTAGTAAGCCTTCAAACTGATATCATAAAATTTCGTTATGTGAATCCTTTATGTTCAGATTACTTCAGTACACGTCATCCTATAATCTATTGTTTGAAATCTGTCTTATGCATTTCACAGAGTAACAACTGAACAGTAAAACCATTCTTCCCATGAACGGTGTATTTTCAGCGGACAGTATAGACATGCAGAATTGAGACTAGTATCACATATTTATTTGTAGAGAATTATGATTCCACATCTCAACTGTACTAAGCAACCAAGCTTTTCCAAATATAAAATAAGAAATATCAAAAACATGTGAAAAGCTAAAGAAATAAGTTCACATATGTTAGTTTCCCATATGGTGTAGTGCATAGAAAGCTCCTTTAATTTCTAACAAAGCTCCTGGTGGTCCAGCTTCTATCTTACGTCCATCTTGTAAAACTACAATTAAATCAGAATTGACAACAGTTGATAATCGGTGAGCAACAACTAGTGATGTTCTTGAACCCACGGCAGCATCAAGAGCTTCTTGAACAATACGCTCACTTTCATTGTCTAATGCAGAGGTGGCTTCGTCCAGAAGAAGTAAGACAGGTTTGCGTACTAATGCTCTTGCTATGGCTATTCTTTGCTTTTGCCCACCAGAAAGCTTTGATCCACGTTGCCCAACAATTGTTTCATATTGCTTCCAAAAATATGAGAAGAGATTTTAAAGTCATTAAGCTCAGAAAATAACCTTTACAAATCATATAAACAGCATATCTGGGAAGCAAATGCCATTTGATAAAATGTATTAAATATGCAGAGAAGAATTTGATACCCATCAGGAAAATAAGAGCTGCAGAAGTCCTGTTTTATTAATATTAAAACTCCATGTATCCTAAATTACAATTCAGTAGATTTACCTATAGATTTTCAGGGAATAAGCAACAGAATCCGATTGGAACAAATTATGAAATTGTGTAATGAATTTGAAATAGCTTCCCATAATTCATCTCTTGGAAGAAAACTGGATATGCCAGTCATCAAAATTCAAAGCAGATTTCTTACTAACCAATATCAGTTAGAGGACTTTCGAAATCCATGCAGTATAGAACAACGGCCCTACTTAGCAATTAAACTGAAAATGCTCCCTCTTTGTCTCTTCTAATCCTTAACATTCTGAGTAGAACATGGCGCTTCAGGCTTGATCTTTGAGGTTTATTTTTGAGAGTTGTGGTTGCTACCTTCACATTCAACCTCACCTTGTTACTGAGCTTATTATCAGCCGAGCGAGGTTAACGAATGCGTCAGCTGTTTTTTCCTAGCTTGTGCATGTCATTGGGGTTCGAAGGCAGGACCTTCAGGTTAGAAAGCGATTCAGTCACTGGGACCCAAAGCCCTCTACATAACTGCTATTATTTCAACAGACGCTTTACTTTATTGGTTTTACAACTTTAATTCTATAACACATTATCTGAGATTTTAAGCCACTTCATATGCAATAACATTTTAACTTACATTTGGTAGTGTTGATATAAATTCATGAATATTGGCTGCACGTGCTGCTTCGATAATTTCATCCATTGTTACTTCACGAGTATTATCTCCATATGCAATATTTTCCCTTATTGTCAGGTCAAATAAAGTTGGTTCTTGAGATACAAGACCAATTTGTTGCCTAACCCAACTTGGTGAAAGATTTCTAATATTTAAATCGTCAAAGAATACTCCACTATCAGGACCATGATATGATGGATCATAGAATCGTAATACCAACTGTAATAAAGTTGACTTTCCGCATCCAGAATGTCCAACCAACGCTACTGATTGACCAGGTTCAACAGTATGTGAAAAATTCTACATAAAATATTAAATAAATATCAGAGAATTAATGTGTAGAGTACATGATTGAACAATAAGATAACTTCTGCAATTCTGAGAAAAACTGAGAAATAGAAAATTTGACGTTTTCGTCAAAAATACACCGATTATCGGCAGGGTCATTATTCAGATTTGTTAGCTGTATGAATTTCGGATGATTAAAGCGACAGTTAGTATCGCTAAACAAACACGACGTTCACTTTCTTCATATACAAAGACTGATGTTAAAAACAGCAGAGTTATTTCTGTCTCAATAAAAAGGTGAATACAGAAATATGAATTTCCCAATGCAAATGACTTCTCTAACTAACTGATGTCAGCTCATGATGAAAATCCCCCTTGCAACCAAACAAAATCCCGACAAAACCGATACTTGAAAGTTAATCTGATGCTTACTAGTGACTGGCCCTATTCAGGCAGTTAACCTGTGGTTCTAGTGGGAAGCCGTGACCAGTAAGGTACAGCAGGTTGAAGATGAGGCAGTAACTCATCGTAGAAGATATTGGGAAATGGTCGCGCTATATCGTGAATTGGCAGAAGTTACAATTAAAGGACCATTGGATCAGGTCCCAGTGGCTTAATGGTCTACAAGCTAGCGATGTAACCAGAAGGTGCTGAATTAGAACCCTGGTGGTGGGTGCGTACTGCAGAAGAGTCCCAAACTAGAACAAAACAGCTGTTCAGTACTCTTTGCGGGTTTTCCAATGGTTCTCTAATCAATGTCAGCTCATGATGAAAATCCTACATGAAATTAAAAGAAATACGTAAATTTTCACATATATTTTACTTCTGTATAGACTGACACGTCTTATTTATGCCAGAAATACAATAATTTCTTTTAAAAAAGTACATTTCTAAACTCACCTTTAGCACTGGTTTTTCAGATCGGTTAGAATATTTGAAATAAACATGTTTAAATGAAATTTTCCCTTTGAATGGAGCCGTTGGAATAATCCCTGAGTTAGTTAAAATATGTGGTTGTCTGTCTAGAAGGGTTAAAATACTTTCTGCAGCAACTTTAGCCGATTTAGCATCTAGAAATACTGACGCTGAACGGCCAAGAGACTGTGCACTCATAGTGATAGTTGCGAAGACCCTTGTTAAGTAGAGTGATAAGAGAAGAAACGTTATTAAATGATATTTATCAGAGTATTTGGTAGTCTAGAATCATTAAATATCACAGGAACAAAGATTTACCACATTTTAACCTGCATTTTGTTGCATTTTGATTAGGTGTAGGTACTGTGTTTGTAAACAAATCATTTTTTATTCTATTATGTTCAGGTGGTCACTTTTTTGTATGTTTGTATGGATTTTTAACGCTGATATCAGATCAATCAATGATCATATATGGTTGAGAGACTAGAACAGTGCACCACGGAAACATTTCAACAGTCTATTGTAAATTTTTAATTAACAGATGACTACGCCGGATACTTGAGATCAGATTGCTGACCGAAAAGAATCAATAGCTGGAAAATGGCAATAAACCGGTCAATAGTATGCTGTTCAGCATATATTCCGAAGGGAGTGGAGATGAATAGAACACAACCTGGGGATACCACTGACTGGCATCACGCGTTAGGCATTCGAGTGGAATAAAAATGAAAAATGGCGAGTTTGTCTTTGATACGAGGGTAACATGGAAGAGATGAAAGCTTATGAGCGTACTTCGAACCAACTAAAGTCAACTTCAGAAAGCAGAACAAAATGGAAATGTACTGCTAAACCCTGTGTTTCACTTGGAACCTAATGGACTAATGATAATAATGAGTTTATGTACGAAACCTTACAATGAATGCACAACGTTTTTGCTGTTTATACATGTTTCTTTGCCAGACATTTAAATTCATGTCAGTCCACCTATCTGATATGTTGAAAATTTTAAGTAGTGCTAGTTGGATAATGCTTTGAATACAACTAATCTCCCGTATTTTTGTGAGGTTAACTCACAACTTCTTATGTTTATTTTATAGTTTTTTAGTGTAATTAAATTTCATTTTAACTGGTGCTAGGAAAGTCAAGTTTGTATTGTTGGTGTGGTATTTTTCTATTTACATGCATTCAGCGTCTATTCCATCAACCCAAATTTAGTAATCAAACTATTCGTTTTTAATAGAATAAAGTCTGTTTACTAGAAATGTGCAGTATTAGTGTCACATACTTGAATTATGGGAAACTAGTGAACTAGAGGATAAATATCAAGAGTTGTGAAATGATCACTTTATTAAGTTTACTCAAGATAAATTTTCTTTGTAGTGTTATTCACTTTCGTAAATCATCAGTCTGTGAAATAAACAAATGAACACTACTCAGTTTGTATGCTTAATCTAACACTTGTGCGTCAGTGGCATAGCGCTTAAGGCACTCGCCGACCATGCACATGATCGGGGGTTCGACCCCCAGCCGACGCACTCCTTTACCTCGCTAAGCCATAAATAATGCTGGTAAAGAGGAAAGGTTAAGCATGAGGCTAGCAACCCCATCCTGTAAAAATAAACACTGCTACAGAAACTTCAAGCCACTAGCTTGAGACCCTATGTTCCACTGGGAACGTGAAGGAAAAAAATCTAACACTTAGTTGTGAGTGATATACAGCAATGTTAATGAATTTTGTTAGAGCTATTTATGATTCGGTTTATAGCCATATTCAGGGAGTTCACCTGGGGTTCTAGTGGGAAACCATGACCAGTAAGGTACAGCAGGTTGAAGGTGAGGTAGTAACTCACCGAAGAAGACACTGCGAAGAGGTCGCGGTATGTCATTGTTTGGCAGAAGTTAGAGTTCATAGGCCATTGGGTCGAAACCAACAGACTGAATGGTCTACGAGTTCGTCTGGTATCCAGAAAGCCCTGGCTTTGAACTCTGGTGCTGAGTGCGTACTGTGGAGAGTCACAAACTAGGATGAAACAGCTGTGCAGTACTCCGTGAAGGTTTTCCAGTGGTTCTCTAACATATTTATTTTTATTTTTGTTTCGAGCAAAGTACTCTGTTTTGCTGGAAAGATCATTCTACAAACCTGTCATTTGGCAGAGCATCAATTTTTAGTATATTAGTTTCCTATAGCTTTAGCATGTTATTCTCGCTTGAGAAATACTTATCAATGAACACAGGTTTTTAGAACTTTGTAGTATATTTTAATTAAAAAACTGATTGAGTAAGTTCAAAGTCTACTTGTAACGCATACAGAGAGTGACAGAATCGTATCCTGGCACTTGAAAGAAATATCTCCCACCATATTGTTAGCCAAAGTCTAAAATATCATCACTACTTCAAAACCAAGACTTTCTGCACACACACACACACATTTACAATCATTTTTTTCTACCTTCTTGCTTCTCACTCGTAAATATTTATTTTATAAGAAAGGATTATATCAACTTGTACTAGAAATACTATTATCCTTATTCCTTTCTTAATTTGATATGAAAATCACATTTTATTACTAATAGATTCATCAGATGACTTTCAATTCAATCTATGTATGAATGTTCACTTAATATTATGATTTTTACAAATCACGGTGATTAGTAGTTTTAAAAAAAACAATCACAGAAATAATCCATTTCCTCTAAAAACATAGGTATGACAACAAGCTGAGCATCAAGCTGCCAACCTCATATCTAAATGAATAGTTGTTGAGATTCACCTTGAATAACGATATATAAAGACAGAAAGATGGTAGGTCTATAGTCAGTTCGCTTGATCCGCTTTTCTCAGTCTAGGAAACAGATCCATTAAGTCGATAATCGGCAGATTGTTTCTCTATGAAGTATATGTCAGGAATGCTTTCATAATATGTCACAACGATTCTCATTGAATGCCTTTTATAGGTATTTACCAACTGTCATCCTTTAGTTGAATTCATAATGTAGGTAGAAAATGAATCGGAGATTAAATTTGTCGATTCAGAATGGTCAGTCACCAAATTTTTATTTTCGGATACCTGTGAGTTATAAAAACCTCTAATAATTTAACTTTCTCACCGTATTAAAATGCCTGCAGCATTAACTGCTTACAAGGAGAATTCTCGCTTTCCAAAACATTTCTGGATGGAAATGGATACCTGGTATGGTATAGAGGGAAGAAAGTTGGACCGAAACCAAAATAGAAGAGTGTAGTTCAGTACCAAAGAAAGTGCTTTATATGAACCTGAATTTCAGGGGAGGCCTAATGGCAGATATTCTAGAGGGGAGAATCTGTAGTTCCTTAAGGAAGACTTTCTTTGCATCAGTGTTAAGCATGGTACTCTCTATCCACCCACGGCTTTTAAGCGATTTGAAGGACAAACTCAAGCACACGACTACATTAATATGGACAGATCAGTTCACCTACTCTTGTGAGCCTGTGTTTATGGATCTTTCTATGCGTGCCTTTCCAAAACGTGTTGGAGAACACTAAGCAGCGTCGGTGTCACGAGGTGATGCCACCTCAGCCAGGTGCGCTACAATTGACTGCCACGTAGGCATCTGTCACAACATAACTGACAATGATTGACAAATTAAACAGGAATCTCATATTAGTTTGTTTACTAGACGTATCACACAGTTAAACAGTATTATTTACTCAATGACATTTCGAACAAAATTTATTGTTCGAGATCATATCAAATGATTGTCACTATTTCACTGTGTGATACATCTAATAAACAAAACTAATATGGAACTACTTACTACCACAGTGCCCAAGTTTTACACATATATTAATTAGCAGGAATCTGTTTGAGGTATAATGCTTTTTACTCTTGTACTTCAGAAGTCCTGTTTATATGCATCCAAAGGCAATAGCTGTGTGTCCTAAAGAGCCAGTCTAACCTATGCTTCTATAATGGATCTAGCCTTGTTAGATTCATTTGTCTTTCATTAACTTCATAATGAATCATATTCAGCCAAAACATCCTATTTCAGTCTGTTTCTATTATTATTATCATGATCACACCTATCTCCAGTAAGAGGAATTTTGTATACAAACTCAAATGTATTCATAATCCTGTACTGTTTTTGGTATCTGTGTCCCTTGTTATCAATATTTATTCCATATCACACATATGAGTTTTCATATCAAGTTGAAATTAAGATCCCCTTCAAGTTTCACCTTTGTTACTAAATTGCACTAAATAATAATCATGCGTCGATGGCACAGCGGTTAGAACGCTGCCGACCATGCACATGGTCGGGGGTTCGACCCCCAGCCGACGCACTCCTTTACCTCGCTAAGCCATAAATAATGCTGGTAAAGAGGAAAGGTTGGGCATGAGGCTGGCAACTCCATCCTGTAAAAGTGAACACTGCCACCGAAACTTCAAGCCACTAGCTTGAGACCCTATGTTTCATTGGGAACGTGAAGGAAGGAAAAAAATGGTAATTTATATACGTAAAATGTGATTGTGCAGCTACTGAGAATGCATTCTCAGAAAAATTTTCTCTGCTGACTTACTGTTTTCTCACCAATGCAAGAATTCTTTTTCATTTCTTTGCATTCTGAGTGGAGTATAGGGTTTCAGGCTTGAGTTCTGAAGTTTCAGTGGTAGTAGAACTTCGTTTTGCAGAGTGAGGTTTCTAGACTGATGCTCGACCTTTCCCACTTTTCTGCGCTGAGGACCAGTTAGGCCAAGTTTAGGAATACGTCAACTGGGAGTTGAATCAACACTATGAGCGCGACTGACATGTGTCCTACTGCTGAACAACCGACGCACCTATGTTACTAGAATAATATTCACAGATATGCTCACGTCATCAAGTTTAGACATAAAAAAATGTATATCGACTGACTAGAAATTACAATTTAGTTAACATTATACTCAAAAGTAATGAAAAAATATGTTTTTACCGGAATACAGCCAGTATCGTTATTGTATTTGTTGACACCAAATATGCACCAAGTGCGAATGCGGCGGCAAATGAAAACATTTGTACGGACTCAGCAAGCGCATACATCAGTGCATATAAAATCGACTTCTTCAAATTCTTTCTAAAATACAAATGTGAAAGAATGAATTAAATTTAAAATTAGAAATTTGATCTTTTCTTAGAGAGTAACAGATAGTTGGATCGTCAAAAAGGCTTGAAAGGAAGAGATATTGATTTTTTCAAGTGCTGAATTCCTATACACATATTTCAAGTTTAAAATGAAATAGATGATCTGTATTGACATTGAGATCATTTCTGAGATTATTTTCAACAAGACTAGCAAAAACTAAGTCGGTAATAACATTTAGAATATACCTGTAAGACGTGGCTTTTTGTACTGTCAGAGATTGGTAAACACGGAAGGCTTTCATTCCGATTCTAGAAGTAGCTATCAAGTCCCTGTAAATTTCATCTTAATCCCTCTGAGGTCCGTGGTAAGAGACTTTCTTTATCGTTATAATAATTCGGATATATACAATTACTGTGATACAGATAAACCTGATTTAGCGGCCATATTTAAGAAAAACAAATGATATCCTCATAAAGAGGAAATATATAATTGTGAAAGAAAGGATGTTCAGAAAAGAGTTACGCTTCTCAGCAATATCATTCCCAAGCTGTACACGCAGAAAAGGGTATAATTCTAAAGACGTGTCATTAGAACTACAAATTTTGGATAACAGTTGCGTAATATAGGAAACATTAATCAGGTAGAAACTAAACTAAAAATAAATAAGCAAACTGAGTGACGTAATATAGTCAAAAAGATTGAGGAGAAATAAAATTTACATGGTTGCTTTGTATGTATGTGTACATTAAATTTGTCACACGATAATACAATTAGTAGGTTTTAGGTGGAGTTACATAATACAAAAGGCGTTCATGTACACCTTGAGTACAACTCTTTAATCAAATTAAAATTTAATTGAATGTGAATCAGGCCAGTCACAGAGATAAGAAGGGATAGAAATTTGATAGCAATTAGAGGGGAGAAAATAATACAATTAAAATCGTGAATCTGGTGTGAAGACAAATAAGGTCCATTGTTTGTTTATAAAATTTCAAATATATTTCCTGAAAAATATGTTCGAATGGCTTATTCATGATAAATGCTATTGACAGTAACAATTATACAAATAAGACAGAGGTTTTAGTAAAACAATAACAAATCAAATGTGTTATGACCTATTATAGCTAAGATGTAATTTCGATAAATCACACAATGTTATACAGTAATACTAACTGATGACGTTTCGAGCACAAACTATTGCTGATAATTATATCAAGTCCAAAAATAAAGTCTTATCTATAATGGAGTTATACTCCACCACAGTGCTGAAGTGTTATAATGATACCAGTGGTATGACTTAATTTAAAACTCTGAAATATACTTAACCAATGAATAAGAAATGCAAGGTAAGAATATATGTCACTCCTGAATTTCCGCCTATTTCTGAAGTATATAATTAAATACTTATTATATTATTATTCCCTTCGGTTGACAGTGGAACACACGGCGTCAGCAACTCTTCTCCACTTCATTCTATTTTTTTTGACGTCCTCTTTACCGGACCCCATGGTTCCCCATTATCTCCCATCTCCTCCTCATCACAGGATCTCTTCCATGTCACTCTCACACTAACGACCCACTCGTTGTTTCCCATCCGAATTCCACTCCAGCGATCGCCTGAATCGGACGCGATGTCATTCGATGGTCTCTTCAGTGCATGCCCGATCCATCTTCATTTTATCCCACATATTTGCTGAGCGATCGTCTTTTGGTGGGTTCGCTGTTGCTAATTCTTTCTGGCTGGCCAACTGGCCATTAGATGTTCCGTATGGAGACAGTGCAGGCAGTTGTCTATTGGAGTCCATAACTTGTTGTAAATCCTTATCGTGACATGCAGTACAAGTTCTTGACCTATTCAGAAGAAGTGACTGACTTCACATTTGTGTTGAAAATCCGAATCTTGTTCTTTATGATGGTAGAGTGAGGGTAAAAGATTTCCAAACTGGTTACCGATTGATGACGGCGTATCTTGCCTTTCCGATTCTGCCTGACTGGATTCAACATAGAACTTGGCACCGAAGTGCAGCAGTTCGACTGTGACTGTAAACATTCGCTTCATAGATATATTCAGATTTTAGGCTTCAAAGTTAAACAAATAAAATTGTATTTTTATGATTTTATGCCGCTGTATTTATAGTTTATTGCTTCAAGAATGTTTTGATTTTACCTGTGTCTAGATGAGATTTATCTTTAAACTAATAAGTAACTTGTGTGTCTTATATCATCAAATCAAATGAGTAGCTTTATTGCTTATCCCCGACAATTGTACCATCATAGTCCGTTGTTAAGGTGGCTTAATGACAAGCTATATTTTATGTATGCTGTTTTAACCTCTACCAATTCGTGATTTAGAGCAGCCACCAACCAATGTCATTGGCAGGACATCCATCGAGCCAAGTGTGAGGATGGATCATTGATAGCTGCGCTAAATCACGAATTGGTAGTAGTTAGAATTCATGGTTCAGCCAGTGAATCGGGTCTTAGTGGCTGAGTGGTATACGAGCCAGCGTGCCTTGTAACCTGAAGGCCCCGGGTTCGAACCCCGCAGTGTGGGTGCGTACTACCGATGAGTTCAAAACTAGGGGGATGAAGCAGCTGTCAGGTAGTCCGTGCTGGTTTTCAATGGTTCTCTAATTGATATCAATCCTTTATCAAACTCGTAAAAACAAATCTAATCCTTACTAATCAACTCTTGAAAAGTATGCTTTTTAAGTGAAAGGCTGCAATAGAAAATTTGTTTTCCGGAGTACATACTGTCAGTAGCATTATATTCTTGAAGGGCATCACATTTACTGCACTTTTCTCAGAAAAAATCGGGCTTGGTTGTGATACCTGAGCGATATAACTCATTAAAGAATGAAATAACTTCAAAATTTAAACGTGTATTTTTGAACTTTCTTAAAATCATGCTATTATATTTGCACAATAAATAAACAATATTCTATGAAGCTAAATGTTACTAATTTTTTATAAATTATCATTATTATTATAGCTTGATTCCGCATAGTATTTTTGTACAAGTGTATGTAATCTTCAGCATGTGATATCAGTAGCCCAAATGTATCAGGCCGACTATTGATATCAGGTGTGCCAAATCACTAATTGTCTCCAGTCTTTATTGGTTCTTACTATCCCAAAGACCCCAAACAGGAAGTCTACACCTTCCTACATGGCTTTAACTAAATGTTATGGATTTCATTGACTGATGAGGCCATGCTTTGGTTTGACCACCACTGGTTCTTTTCCAACCTGATCCATCCTATCTCAGCTAACATTTCCCGTCGAGGAAGATGATGATTAGGCATACGCAACACATATTCTAACCATCTCGATCGATGTAACTTCACAACCTCATCGATTGATTTCCTTTCCTTACCTAGTACTCGACCGAAGCCTAACGTCAATATTGCTCACCTTACTATACTTCTTCACACGGCAGATATAAAGCAGACACCTATGATCAAAGACAAATATCCTTTTCGTATCTTCCACTTTCAATAACCATATCTCGCTCACAGCCATAAAGGAGGACAGAGTGAACTGCTGTGCAGCGCATGTGTCATTTAGTCAGCAGCCGGGTGTCACATCTACTAAGCCAATGGTGGCGTAAGTTGGCATATACCAGTTTTCTGTATCCATGCTGATATTTTGTCTGCAATGAACCTACTTGGGCTGATGCAACGATAATAAATTGTTAATAAATGAAAATCCCTTATGATATACCTTCATTAAGTTATCAGTGAGTCTTCAGTCAAAATTTACTAGCTAATCTTTTTATTTCAAAACACTTCTACAGACTAAACTGAAATCAGCTTTAACACAGGATTGGAATAATAATCTATTTTTTGTAAAAAAGAAAAAAGACTAAAACTTATCTAAAAGTGATGCTTACTTATAGTTCTCAACTGCATAAGATTTAAAAATTTCACAAAAGTAATCTTCGAGTGTAAGTGTAGTGAGTGTACGATTTGATCCTATGGCTTCTTGTGCTACTCTCATTGAATTGTTGGCCTTTTTGTCGTCACCTTTTCCTGACATTGCTTGCATCTGAATATATGATATAAAAGAGAGATTGTTCTAAATTTTCTAGTCACTAACACTTCACGGATAATATTACAAACGCGTATATATATGAAAAAATGTTATGGGTATTATGCAATAGTGTCAGTCAAGGTTGGGAAGTGATTCCTAGTGAGTATCGCCTTAGGTTCACTCTTTAACTTCCATATACATTTCCTTTTTTATGACTGTTAATAAATATTTTAAACTTAGAGGTTAAATTTCTTATGAAAGAATGGGTTATTCACCTTACTCAATATTTGTTTTACATGGCATAAATGTAAAAATTAAATAGTGTACCTTAGTTGCATTTAAACATGTATATTTCAGTGTGGACGCTGCCATCAAAATGGTATTTATTGCTATGACATTGTCCTACGTATGACCATGTTACCTTGACTACTGTAGAAGAAATGAACGGAGGACATCTAACTCATAAAACTACCTTCCAATAGACTTTTAATTATAAATGAATTTATAAATAAAATTAAAATAACTCTAGTCATATTTTTCAGGATAAACTCTAAAGCCATTGGTCATAGTCTGTAAATTATCAAGTAAATCCAATTTTTATGCGAAGCAAAATTGTTTTAAAGAGTCCTATAATTAAATTTTTAGGTAGGTAATAGATATTATTATTGATATGAATATTAATCCCTTAGGTTCTGAATGGAACATACGACCTCAACAACACATCTCCAGTTTGTGCTATTTTCTGCTATCCTCTTTAGTCAAACCCATGACTGCCCACAATCTCTCATCTCCTCCTCATCACGCGATCTCCTCCATGTCACCCTAGCTCTGACTACCCACTTGTCGCCCCCCCCTCCACTAGGATTCCACTCGAGCAATGACCTTCATTGCGTGCGATATGATTCGACAGCCTCCTCAACATTTGTCTGATCCATCTCCATTCTATCCCACATATTTGGTGAGTAGTCGGAACTTGGTTGGTTTACTGCACTAGCTGTCTCTACCTGGCCATTTGATCTTCAGTATGAGGCCAACGAAAGCAGGCGATGACAGAAGTCTGCAGTGGCCTGTTGGAAATGATTCGCATGTCTCACAGCGCAAGTTTCTGATACGTATAAAAGAAGTGACTGATTTTATATTAGTGTTAAAAATCCGAATTTTGTTGTTTGTGCTGGTTGAGTGAGTGCAGAATATTTCCAGACTGATTTCAGTTTGATGAAGGCGTATCGCACCTTTCCGATTCCGGCAAGTTTTCACATCTTCCTCCATTGCGACGGCCAGTAGTTGAAACCGTGCTTCGTAGCCGGGTAAGTGAAGGAAGGAACCTCTGTCAAATCTCCGCCATTGATGATGACTGGTGCTGATCATTGTTGTTGTTGATTTTGATTTTTCTACTCAAGGCGAAGCAATGCTATTAGATTGCTTCAGTCCCTTCTGCTTTCATAGGTAAAAGGAGACTGATACCCATGAGCTACGAACATGACGAAGAGCGAAAGCCGTTCAACTGTAAGCTGACCAAACGTATTAACAGCAGTGAAGAAAGGTGGGGTGAAAAACACAAAAGAAGTGGAAAAGATAAAAGCAGCAGATGCTATGCGTCAGATGTTTTGGTTCATTAGAAAAGTGGGTTATAAAAACCTGTGGCAAGTGAAGTATTGTTGGCACTTTATATTTATTACATTATTTAGCAGTTGACTGTGATAAAGCAACATGAGGATTTTGAGTCAAATCCCTGGTGGAACAATGAGTGCATATTGTTGGAGGGCCCCAAACAAGGGCAAAACGGCCATTCAGCAATCTCTGGTGCTCAGTAGCTCTTTAACTGAGACCACTTACTGATCCAACTTGAAATCAGCCAAGTCTTTACAAGCTAACACTTGTAAATTAATCTGGTTCCCACTAGTGGCTTACTACTTGGTTAAGTTGCCTGAAGCTCCAGTGATAAGTCTTGACAAGCCGCATCCGCGGCGCTGGGTACTAGAACAGTTACTTGCTGATGTCACTGGCCAGGGGTCACGCAGGAAATCGCGAAATGAAAAGAGTTCATATTGACGGAATATTGGATTCCCTCCCAGTGGCTGAATGGTCAGCGAGCTCATCTTGTAACTGATGGTTTCATTGGCGTGCTCTGCTGACGAGTCTTGAACAAGAATAAAACAACAGTCAGTTTTCCAGGTTTTCGATAGTTCTATGACTGAAATCATTTCGTGATCAGACGCTAAAATGCATATCCAACTTTTGATTCTTGTTTTTGTCGACTACGCATAATTTGGATTTAGGCAACTAACTATTTTATTCAATCCACGAATTTTATTTGTAGATGGATTAAGCTAAATGATTAACATCTTGTGAATAGTTCAAATGTGAAGTGATTATTTTGTGAAAATATGACTTTATCACACAGTTTGATGTACTAAAACACTCTCTTCATAATATTTGATAGGAATTCAGACATAGAGAGCAATTAGACGAGAAGTATTCACATCATTGTACTTTCTTCATTCATTAAGTGAGTTAAATATGCGATCATTCGCTTATGATGGAATTCTCAACTTGATGAAGTATTTATAAAAGCATTTTTATATCTCATCTTGTCACTTAAGTAAAAAAAAAAACAACAACAGTAAATTAGTTTCACAGTTAATTAAAGAAAAAAAGAGTATTTATTACCTGAAAAACTCCTCCAATAACAATAAATGGATAGAAGGCTAGTATAAGAAGTGTCAACTGCCAACTGTAAATAAATGCAATGACAAGTGACATAATTATCAAAGATAACGATTCAACAAGAAATCCCATTTGTGAACCTGAAATCATTGACACTTTTGAGGCATCTGTAGCAAGTTTTGCAGTTAATGCTCCTGCCTGATTATCAGGTTCATCAAACCATGCAATCTCCTAAAAGAATAAAGGGAGAAAAAAATAAGTGAACTAAGATATGAAGGAAATTTCACAATGGCATATTATAAAGATTATATTAGCTTACTTGATGTAACATTGCATCAAAAACCATGGAACGTATCCGTCGGATTAGTATACCACCTGATTTCCCGAATAGATATCCCTATATAAAATGTAATAGTAAAAAAGTATAGTAGTAAGGTTTCTGTCTTTCATACCAATTAAAACATTTATTTTTCAATTATTTCATCTCGGTGTAAATTTTTCACGAACTAATAATATCAACTATATAATCACTCAAAACTCAGGAGCACTCAGCTTCTTGCATTTTCGAGATTGGTGCGGTTCAGCTGTAGGCCGCAGCAACCCAACACTTAACGAATACTAGGTTATAATATGAATTAAGTACTTCTAAATTCTCAATTGTCTTCTGAATGATATTAATATTATTTACCAACCAAACTAGAGCGTCGGTGGCATAGAGGTAAAGGACGTTCGCCAACCATGCACATAGTCCGGGGTTCGATCTCCTGCCGACGCACACCTTTACCTCGCTAAGCCAGAAATTAAGCTGTTAAAGAGGAAAGGCTGGGCATGAGGCTAGCGACTCCATCCTGTAAAATTAAACACTGCTACAAAGCTTCAAACTGGCTCTAGATTGAAACCCTATGTTCCACTGGGAACGTGAATGAATAAAAAAAAACTAGACGTACTGATGAAGACACAACAATCAAGCTTTCGTTTTATCCCTAAACTTCAATAACTCTTTTTACTTTATTTTCGAAAACTGATAAATATCCACACATAACATTTGGTTAACGTTCACCGAAGTGAGCATTAGTCAAAGCGAATTATTGCTGCTTAGCAGGTTAACCCAGGAACTCAAGTCACCTCTTGAGATAATCCAACCATAAATATATGGCACTAGCGTTCTTATTGGCCCTACGGATTGATAGCAGTTAGAGAACTGCTGAAGAACAGAGAGTACTGAACAGCCGTTTTGTTCTGGTTTGGGACCCTTTGACAGGATGCAGTGGGGAACTAACTCGGGATTGAACACCTGGACCACTTGGTTGCAAGGCATGCTCGTCGAATTTTCAGATGCTTAAACGGAATAAGATGACCGATGAACTCTTAATTCTCACAAACTAAGTCTTGAAAATTTATCTGATGCTTATTAAAGACTGATTAGAGCACAAAGCTGCCTGGAGTTCCATTGAGAACTCGTTGCCAATAGAGTCCACCAAGTCACTTTGGACAGCAAATATTCACTGGTGCTATTGGCTGGTTTGGTGCTAAAACCGTGATTTGACAGCAGTTAGAATTGTCGAGCCATGGAGTCCTGTCTCACTGGCCGGTCAACTAGCTCATTTTGTAATGTGAAGGTTCTGATTTCAACTTCTATTGTGATCATGGATGCCCACTGAGGAGAAGTCCTAAACTAGGATGAAACAGCTGTCCAGTATTGTCTGGTTTTCATTCTTTTTCAAGGTGATTTCAGTCCGTGGTCAAAATTCAAAAAATCATGTCCCTACAAATCAATTCTCTGGAATATTCTGCTTAAAAATCGCACTCAGTAAGCAACGAAAGAGCAGCTAATGTTCGACTAATGATCAACATTCACTGTTTCAATCTGCTTCTTTAATTTTAATTGTTTTAAATAAAACTTGAAATTATTCTGTCTCTATGCCTCCATTCAGACTGATCTACATAAGTAATCGTGGTTTTCTAAAGTCTGATGACATTTCCCACCATTTTTGGGAAGAAATATTATTAGTTCAGTATAATTCAAAATATTATCACGTGCAAAGAAAAACAGAAGGTGAACTGATTACGTCTTACCTGGCCTAGATTAGCTAAAAACCGTAAAACGCCAAGTAGTACCATCATTCCACTAATAAGACTAATACGGCTATACATCCGATCTGGATTCGACCTCAAAGTAAAAATCTGAAAAAAGTGTTAAAAATTAAATATTATTATTAATACAAATTCATAAAATTAGTATCTAAAAAGTCCATCTCCTCTTTCTCTCTCTCTCTCTCTCTGTCTGTCAATTACTCACACTAGAAGATTGAATTGACAATTATAAATGAATATCCAGTTTTTGACAGACATTTAAAAGTGGAGACAGTAGGCGTTATGATAATCACTGAAAAGCAACTTCTAATCTTATTGATTTATCATGGAATGTGCAATCGATCTAAACAATTCTGTAAGCAACTGAACATGAATGTATGGAATCACTTAACAGGTATTTATATGTATGAGTGACACCGAATGAAATAAATGATTCCTTTTTAACAGACATAGTTATTTATAAATCTTAATGTGTGAAAATTATATGATCAAATGTGAAGCCCTGCTTCAACTCCTGTAGTAGTCACGTACTTACTACTAGCTGTGATCTTACACTACCAGCTAATAAGAATAAGAGATGGATTTGGTTAGTTACAGGACACTTTACACCACTGTTTCGAAATCATTCTTGTTATACATATTATATCAGCTGCTTTCGCCAACTTACGCCATCTCTGGCGTAGGCATGACATCCGGCTATCAACCAAGGGACGTGTGTACTGCTCAGCAGTTCTCTCCATCCTTCTCTATGGCTCTGAACCACGGCCAATACGAGTTGAAGACATGGAAAGGTTGACTGTTTTTGATCACAGGTGTCTACGATCTCTGTCTCACGTTAGGTGGTATAATAAGGTAAGTAATGTTGACGTTAGACGTAGAGTGTTGGGTAAACAGGGAGAATCAATCAACGAGGCTATAAAGCTACATAGATCGAGATGGCTAGTTCACGTGCTGTGCATGCCTAACCATCGCCTCCCCCGACGGGCATTACTAGCTGATATAAGTGGAGGTTGGAAAAGAACAAGTGGTGGCCAAACAAAAACATGGCATCAATCCATGAAATCCTTGACAGTTAAACTGAGTCAGGTAGGGAGATTCAGCTTCCGGGTTGAGGCCCTCGGGACTCTAAGAATCAATGGCTAGAGGCAATAGGTGACATGGCTCAAAGTCGTTGTCAATGGCCAGCGAAGATGTATTCAGTCTCTGTAATCTTTCATATTCCTTTCTACCACTACCCATACTGTTTCACTCTTATCCTTGTCAAACTCTATTGATTCTCTTCACTCATCTTCTTGTTTACCTTTGTGTGTTATTTGGAACATGGCAACTCGAACTGCTGCACTTCGGTGCCAAGTTCTATGTTGAATCGAGACAGACAGACAGACCATACATTCTGAAGAAAACATTTTGACTGAAATGAAGAATTTCTCTTTGGATCAAGCAGTTGGTGCTGTTCAGTTAACTGACCAATGATTAACTATGTTTTAAACATATAACAAGATTAATAACAGTAGAATGAATAAAAATAAAATTTAATTGGTTATAGTTTTAAATGTTGGTTTGTAGGGATTTAATTTGTTTCAAGATTAAGCACAAACTGACTTGTAATTAAAGAGCTATCGAAAACTAGAGAGTGGTGAACAGCTGTTTCGTCCTAGTTCACGGGTATTCGACATCATGCACACCTGACCCCACTAGGGATCAAAACCATGGTCTTTGGCTCACGAGGTGACCCCTTATACCATCGAGTCGTTGTGATGGAATCTGGTGGCCGGTCCGTGAATCAAAACTTTGCCCAACTCGCAGTGTATAGTGCAAGCATTTACTCACTGGACCAATGGTATACACACTCACTTTGTAACCTGTAGATCATGGTTTCGATCTCTAGTAAGATCATGGGTGTATGCTACTGAAGAGTCATAAACGAGGACGTACCAGCTATGAACCAATATTGGTTTTTAGTGGCACTCCATTTCGTAACCAGTATTAAGTGGTTACCAGAAGGGTAATACGGGGTATTTTGAAGTTTTATGTCACTTTTTGTATCGCAAGGAAAAATACCGAACTTTGATGAGAATGGTTATGAGGCAAAGAAAACCAACATAGAGCATAAAACATGAATACATAGCAGAAATTTCATGTCACGTTTAGTGGCGCTTATGTAGTAAACAAATGAACATAAGCATTACAGTATCTTGATAGAACAGGTAGTAAGACTTAGTTCGTTAACATGAAAATATATGCTCTGTAAACAGGGGCAGAAATTATCTGTCTTCGTGTGAAGTAAACGGATCACAAAACGATGAGTAAGTAAAATTCTATCTGTTAAATATCTAAATTCCGAATGTCAGAATTTTGAATGGTTGATTAGTCTCAAAGAGATGAAATAACCTTCTAAACATTCCACATATACATTTAATACATAAGCGCTGTGAAACAAACAGCCTAGGTCCGACTCTCCTCCGCTAGTCTTTTACTAGTTAACAACAAATATGAAATTTCTTTTTCCTCCCCAATATAATCCATAAAGGGCATTAGTGACTATTACTTACAAGTGGATGACTCTACTGATGAATGAAAACAAGAAAAAAAAAGCTGACAGTTAGTTTATTTCATGTAATAAACAACCAGTGCTCTGTGTTCAAAAGAAGCAAGTCCGGCCACTACTAATGCCCTGGTTGGCCTTCAGTAGAGACTATAAATTCATGAATTTGTAATATTATCTTTCTTCCTTATTTTTTCTGACGTTCAGCTTATTTTATGTTGATGCTATCGAACTGGTATCTATCAATATTATTGATTCGATCTTATGTAAACATTAATGTTGTTCATAACACCAATTCATTCATTCACTATAATGTGTATATATAACTGTAGAGCCTGGTGATGGAGTTATCGAAAAGAGTATTCTTTGTTTAGTATCCATTCTTTTGGAAATAATATTAACGTCTAATATCAATGGTCGACCATACATTTACTAGTGTGACGGTGATTCATTAGTAATATGCTCACCAAACACGCGGAAAATCCAAGTTCAATTTCCAACAGATGCACTTCAACTGCTTAATCTTGTCTAGTATACTAGCAGGTAGTAAGTAGTCTTGGAGAAGAAGGGGAGATGCAGTGAACCTAGCAACCTTTCCTCCGTGTAATTAATACCATCACTATCGAAACGTACAGTTTGAAATCTTATGCCCCACTTAGAACGAAAACAATAAGAAGGAAACCAAAAAACACGTTCACTAACCGAATAATTCTCTGTATTTTTATTTTATTTTTTTTATTTTTTATTTACAGCTTGAGTAAGTATTTTTAGAAACTTTGAGTTTTTTTTGTGTGAGATCCTGTCTTTCATCTTAAGCGATTGTGTTTTTTCAGATACAAAAAGCAGCAGAATTTTAGGATAGTATTTTGAAGAAGCACAACATCGTCATGAGGAATAACTACTTAATTACAAACGTTATACGAGTGGAGATACACGAAAATGGAAGCACAAAATGTCAAAACAGGTATATTAACACCCGAAGATAATGAACTATGTAAACATTTGACCTAGCTTCTTATATCTGTTAAAGTTTGGGAAAACAAATATGAAAGGAAACTGACTGTGTAATGCAAATAAGACACCACCAACTCCCACCGTCCCTTGTAGACGAAGTACTATTCGGTTTTGTGGAAGTGAAGGATAACTGCATTTAGACGTTGGCTTAATAACTGTCTGGCTTCATATGTAAGATTATTATCACTTTTGTCAAGAACAATTAGTATTTGAATTGCGTGTAGTAAACCAACACTGTCAGGCTTAAACAGAGTCAAAAATTTGTAGCTTTTTTAAATTTTAAAAAAGAGTCATGTTGAATTCTTGGTAATCTGATAAGAATATGTTTGAAACTGTGTCAAATTTGGCTTTGTTAACTGCAAACGTTCTGGAAATAAGTTGTGTACACATAACTATCACTTTCCCCCATGAATATATTTTAGTTAATAGGAGATAAATTTGAGAAAGAGTTAGGCATGATCAGACTACTACATGACATCAATTCTCAACATATTTGACAGTTAGTTCCAGCCAAGTAGGTTAGTGTACAACAATGTGGCTGATATCATCAAGACGCTATAATCAGTTACTGGAGACTGTTGATGAAATGCCACAGTAGTAGTGGTGATATATTAACTGTACCTGACCTTCTGGGTTCTAAAAATCCTTATTCTGAGTGTATTTGTTCTTTCGGGCACTTTCTTTCTTTTACCTAATGTAAATTCAGTGTATTTTTTTTGCATGATCTTCATGCTTCTCATTGCAAAGTGTGGCGAACTTGAACTGATGCAATTCTGTGCAAACTCTACACGTGAATATTTGTGATCATCTGAAGAGTTGATTCCCGGCCGACCCATTCCGCTTTTGTGCGTCGGTGGTATGGCGGTTAGGACTCTCGCCGACCATGCACATAGTTCGATCTCCAGAAATAAAGCTGGTAAAGAAGAAAGGTTGGGCATGAGGCTAGCAACTCCATCCTGTAAAATTAAACACTGCTACAGAAACTTCGAGGCACTATCTTGAAGCCCTATATCCCACTGGGGAACATGAGGGAAAAAAATATGAAGAGTTATTAGGGAAGATTATTGGTGAATAATAAGGCTTGAGTTCATGATAAACAACATGAATACTGTGATTTGAAGAAATCATAAACTAAAAAATCTTAAGCCTTTTTTGGTCATTCGAAATCGGTATCTAGCATTACTGAACTGCTGCATAAAGATGAATTATGATGATGAGGTACATTAAACAAGAAACATTTTATAATTAATTATCTTTTGATTATATTAAAAATAATTATGATAACAAAAAGTGAACAGAGACTGAAATCACAATTACACTTAACATAATACGTGTAAAAAGACTTTTATTAACACACACACACACAAATTACTTACATCGTAAACCTCAGAATAGAGAATTGCAAATGCAGGCTGTGAGGTTCCGCTTACAAGACAACAAAAGCATCCTGCAATTATTAGTGGTAATTCAGGCCTGTTGAGCTTTAATACTCGGAATGTGGCTGATTTTTTCAATCTTTTCAGCTATAAAATGGAAAAAGAAACGGAAGTGCACATCAGTAGGAGGCTAGTGAAAAATAGTAAATTTTCGATAATAGCACATTCGTTCCACTTAAACATGAGAAAAGTTATATATATATATATATATATAAAGATGGAGCAGCCACAGATATCATGATTCCATAGTTGTATTTATCCTCACTAAAACAGTCACCTATAATGACTTATTGCTTAGGCGCATTTAGATATTTGCAAGTTTCAAAGTCTCTCAGTTGTCTTGGTTGATAACGGCTAACATTAAAACCCAGAACGAGAATTTCATGGTCTTTAGGACTCTCTGCTGCATTCCTAGTGAGTAATGGTATTTGGGAAAATAATTTTAGTCTTCGAAGGAGCAAAATTACACACTGAGAATGTAGTTGCCTCGGGATGACCAGCCTAAAATACAACGTAATAGTAGTCCTGGATTCCAGTAATTCTCACCATCAAACAAAACAACTTCAAGTTAATTCTTAAAACATCATCAAAGTGTCTAAATCAGGAGACAGCCTAGCAACAGAGGCCGAACATTTCAGTCCAGTAGAATCAATCAAAAAGAAATGTAAAATAACCAATAAATAAGTATCTTAGTTGCCTTGATTTTAGAAAATCGTTGACATAGATAATATGTAAGCTAGTTGTAATCTGTTCAATAAATATAAGATTCATGAGCGCGTTTTTCAAGTCGGCGCATGGTACAGCCGATGTATTCAGCTTTACAAGAGCAAGTAAACTGGTATATGCACGTTGAGGTGGCCCGATTCGACAGCTTGTCTTTCGCGTTCTGGCTGAACAGTTTCTTGCAGGAAAACGTCAGTCGTAGGCTAGCGGCGAAGTATGTTTTCCTCAGCGATTTTGAGAGGCGTCTGTGAAGGATTTCTGCTTCAATATCACCTTTGAATTCTAGATAAAGCAGAAGCATTTTCTTTGGAATGGATTGGACTTGCTCGGAAGTCATCTTAGATTTCAGATTCTTGTCTATGAAGCTGTGCGGGAAACCGTTTTCCATCAGGGTTTTTCGGAGGTTGCTCAGTTCTTTTTCAATCACTTCCTTGCTGCATATCTCCTGAATCCTCGAGGAAAGAGCATATATCAGGTTCCTCTTTCTGCTTAGAGGGAGGAAGCTTTGAAAGTTGATGAATTGTCCATTCCATGTAGGCTTTTTGTATATGGACCTTTTCAGAGAGTTGTTGGCGTACTCTAATGTTTTGGAAGTGGGCGATTTATCGGTAAAACCTGAATATTTCTGTAGCTTAGACGAAACAGTCTCAAGATGAGACGTTATATGAACTATACAATTGGTGGATTGTGGCTAGCAGTGGAATCCAGGATGCGCATTTCGTCCTATTTGGGACTCTTCAGTTGGATGTACCTGCATTTCTCAGTGAGTGATGATGTTCCCACCGAGGCTCGAACCCAGTACCCATAGTTTCAAACGCCAAAGCGTTATCCACTAGACCACTTGGGCCACGAGAGCCACCTCTTGTGCAACGGGTCATATTATTGTTGAATTGAATTCTTGATTTTCCCGTCGGTCCAATCAGTCGACGGGAAAATCATGAATTCAATTCAATAGTTATATGAACTATTTCAAGAATATATCTGTCTGACGAGATATGTTACATCCTATCCATTTAAAGGATTTCAAACAACCAACTCAGAAGTATTAAAATCATCATTCTAGTGTAACATTTGAAATGAATAATTATGTGTTTCTAAAGGCTACTCGTATTTTGCTTGTACACCATATGCAAGTAAAAATTGACATACAAGAATCACTGGGCAGATGAAACACTGAATCTTTATTTCTTGAGATCATCAAATATCAGATATTCCAGTAGACTTTCTTCATAAGATACTTTTATCTACTTAAAATAGTTTTTTAAAGCGTACACTACACTTACTTTATTACGTGTCAGTGTAACCATTGAACTGTGCGAGAAGCTTCTATTAGGTAGGCTTCCAGTACTCTCCGATAAATTCTATTAAAGTAGAAACAGCAGATTAATGCAGTGTGTTAAAAATCATATATATAATCCAATTTCTAAAAAAATGGTTTTTTGGGTATTAGATGGTTGGATGCCATTGGCCGGAAGCTTTGAACTGAGGTTTGGTGCTATTTGCCACTCATCAGCAAGACGTATCTGCAATCTTGAAGGAACTCGCGTCCCTTCTGAAATTAGAACTCGCGTCACCTAGTGTTGTGGTCTGAAACTTTACAACTAACCTATTCTGGCTCGCAATCAACCTCCTATGTGACACTATTGACTGACTAGTGTCCAATCTAACAAAGTTGTTTTATTAATCCATTTTATTCTGAATGTCAACTGTGTTGTCTGATCGACTAAGTCTCAACATAGCATTTTGTATTGAAGTGCATCAGTTCAATCTGCCACACTTAATGAGGCACTTAATGATTTTCTGGATATGGGATTTGGCAAAGAGTGAATGCGTCCGCACTGATGAGAATGATGATGACCGATAGCATCGGTGGAACAGTGGTTATGACGCTCGCCGATCATGCACATGATCCGGGGTTCGATCCCCTGCCGACGAACACCTGAAATCAATGATTGGCCTGCGAAATTTGGGCTACCGATATCACATACTGAAAATTCCATACCTCTGCCAAAAATACCGTGTGGAATCAAGCTGTAATCAAAAAAGTAACAGTCTATAATAATTGATCCTGAGCATATGGAGGACCTCAACCAGACAGTTTACACATCCCTACATGAGCCAAACTTACTGTCAAGGACTTCATGGAGTAACGCCAGTTTTTGGTTTGACCATCTTTAACCTAACTCTTCCCCACCCTAATCCTATGTCAGTTTGCACTGCTTCTCGAAAGAGCTGGAGGTTCACCACCATGGGTTCCACGCGACCTTACCATCTGTATCGTATAGTGAAATGGATGAGTGAAGCAACATACATTAAATCAGAAAAATCAGTTGAACTGCCTCAACACCTACATTCACGTAGAAAGAGACACTACGTACTGGGGCATATATTCAGTCGGTCCTTTCACATATTTATTAAGCTCAAATTGTGCTTTAAGTTTATTTGTTGTGAACAGTTATATCGAATTAGAAAACAGTATTACATTTACGCGTGAATACTTATGACGATAAGGGTGAATAAGTTTATGACTTCATGAGCTGGAGCACAGACTATGTAAAAAAGTGGTTTAAAGATGACAAATCATAATCTAAAACCTCAGAGTAATTAGACTATCAGAATATGTTGGATAACCATGGAGTGACTGACCATTACTAATGCAATGACCTAGTTGGCAAATGTACATCACAGCTCGGCTTGTATAACTTCAAGTTAGGCATCCAGAGGTCAGAAATTCAAAACTCTACGCGATCAAAATTGTTATTTCACCCTAGAATTATTATTCACTATATCAAATATAATTCAATGTAATCATGCCTGAGAATTCAGATTAAAGTTCTGGACAATATGAGAAATTTTACAATGAGTAAATTCAACATACTACAGGGACAATATAATGAGTGAATCCATTAACTGTAGAACAATAAAAGTGATATACTAAACTTCATCATTTGAATATAACATAATTAAACTAAATTAAAAATGTCAGGAATATGAATAACGTTAAAGAAGAATTTGTAAAACATTCTAAAGAAAGTATAAGAAATAAATTGATAATAGGTGGAGCTGCAAGGGAAAGGAAATCACTAAGTTAGTTTATGTTACGTACAGCTTTTTAAATTCATTTTCAATTAAATATTTACAATATAACCTGGTTACATCCGAATATAAAATTCACCATGGAATATGAACATAATAATGAGTTCAATTTCCTGGATCTAAATGTAAAAAGAACAAACGAAGGCACGGTCGAAAAGTCCATCTATAGAAAAGAAACCTGGACTGGACAATATATTCACTATAACAGCTTTTGTCCCATAACCTACAAACGTAGATTAGTGAGGACTTTGTATGACAGAGCCAGGAAGCTATGTTCACCAAACAGGGTCGAAGAAGAATTAGTTTCGTTGAGAAATACCTAAGGAAAAATGGATACACTAAGGGATTTATACAGAAGTACAGCAGAGAAAAAGATGAGAAAGAAAAGCATCCAACTGTAGAAAAGAAAAAAGTGTTTATTTGTCTACCATACAAAGGAGATGCAGTGTCACAAAAGATTGACAAAAGATTGAAAGGTGCAATAAATAGAAGCTTCCCGGCAGCAAAACTCATAACAACATACAGCACCACTCCTTCTTTAATCCACTCAAAACTGGATAAATATCCTGCTGATGTCACCTCCAACTGCGTTTACGAATTCACGTGCACTTGCGGGAGCAAGTACATTGAAAGGACAGAAAGAAGAGCTTCTATCCGGTTTTCTGAACATATTCCCAAAAACCTGTGCCTGAAAGGAAGCAGATATTCCCAGAGTGCAATTACCAGACACATTATTGATACCGGACATCTCTTAGAGATTTCTAAGTCCTTCAAAATATTAAATAGACAAAGGACAGCAAATTTACTACGACTCGCCGAAGCAGTCGGGATCAAAAGACTTAAACCAGACTTATGCATACAGAAAGAAAGTGTGATTAACCTCTCACTCCGTTGGTAGCAGAATTTTGATTAGTTATCTAATTCAGTGATCTCAACTCACTGAACAAATCTCAATCTCACAAACTGTAACCGCTTTTATTTCTTGAGTTGCTATGTGAACCTACAAGCTAACACTGTTCTGTTAACCAATTTTTTCTGTTTCCTGTCTCACCCCTTCCCCTCTTTTCAACTTTAAAAGCGTATAAATTGATGATGAAAACTTAAACTAAAAACATTGTAATGCTTTCATTTTGGATGCGTCAATTTTATAGTATCTCTTCTCTACCACCACTCAAACATTAAAGTATGTTATTATCATCTATAAAACCATTGTAATTTCAGGTAGTCTGCAGCTGATGAGAACCTGTGAAATAGAATGTTATCATTTTATACTGCAAATTTCGTCTTCCTTTCTTGATCGAAATTTATCAATGGAACCAAATGTATGAATCTGGTTATTCCTAAAATCGAAGTTGAGACTCAAATTCCTCTGTTGAGAATACTTAAAAAAGTAATAAATCTCAGGCATTAGGTTATAAGGATTTCATTTGTTTCAAGTTTGACTTCGGATTGATATCAGTTAGAATCAGGGTGGAATCCCGATGGGCGCGTACTGACGACGAGTCCCTGGTTTTCAGTGGCTTTCTAAGTGAAATCAGTCTGTGGTCAAACTTTCTAAATCTCAAGTATTAAAAATCATCATTGCACGACTATTACAATTTCTAAGTTTTTTCAGATCGTCTACACCAGCAGCAATATACAAATCCAAATTTATGTTCTATTCAACATTTCATTTCCATTTATGTACTCCTCATTTGAATGAAGTCAGTTGAAGACCTTGTAAGTGTTACTTCACATTATTTCCAGTCACGTCTTTTGAAAGTATCATCTACACACATTAAGTGTGGAGATGTCTATTTTGAGAGATGCAGTTTATTTTTGCATCTTTTAAGGAGGCTAGATATGTGGTGAGAGCTGGCTGCTAGCCAAGTTGGTAGACATTGATTTACGTCAATGTGCTTGTCCCAAATATTGGTAGTGAGGAAATATGATTCAACAACCAACCACAGCAGACTTTTCGTAGGCAGATAAAGTTAACATATAGATGATCCGACATTCAAGAAACAGTCACAAAGAGATGCAAAGTTAACTTTCTGTGAGAAACAACCAATCAGGAGACTGTGTTTGTTTGCTCAACTAAGCTATAATAATGTACATGAAAATATATAAATGTGCGTTGATTTCCTCAATAAATGATCTGTTGCCTGACTCTTGCCTTCTGTCGTTACAGAAATACGTCCATTAGTTCTAGTTCTGCTAGCAATTCAAAGCGTTATATTTTTACTGTACATTTCTCGTGCTAAACATGTTTCAGAGAAATACTACTGCACATGCAACCATGACTGTATATGCTAGAGTATGTTTAACTAGAACAACTAATCTCCTAAGTGTGGTTGTCTAAAACTTTACTTATAGGTCAATTTTCCATGATGCAAGGCGCTGAGTTACTTAGGAGTTCACTATGTGTTACCCCTCATATGTATGATATACAACCAAATGAGCTTGATTCACAAAAGCGTTTTTATACCTCATCTGTGTATTAACAACTTTCTAGAGAATTACTTAATCTGGTAATTTATGCGCCTCAGCTATCCTTGTTCCCGCTTTTTGTTTTAGCCTAAAAGCTTCTGTCTCTTAACGCGTAAAAGTGGAGCAATATTTCATATTTAGCTAACTTAACATTTTAGTCACTCTATATGCCATAATCACCCTTAATTATCATTCAGTATTTTATCTCCAATGATCTGTTAAATTGCCTTATTTAGCTTTTTATGCAACTGATAAGTTACTCATGAAGCAGACGATGAGTTCACTTTTCCGCTGCACCGTGTTTTGTGTAACTGCTTTGTTTAAATTCATCAAGAGGAATTCGTGGTGTATGATACTTCTACATTTTTTAAAATCTTATCTTAGAAAATCCGAATTTTACTTTTGGGAAAAAATATTCTTGATTGCTTCTCTTATTACATCAAAAAGAAATTACCATTCACAGAAAAATGACCAGCAAATTAATCTACTTGGCTTCTTCTCTTCTTTTAGGAAACAACAAAGTTCAACCAAGAGTCTTTCTTCAGCGAATTCATTCACTTAGCTGTACAACCCCATTCATACACAATTTTTCTGTGTGTGTGTGTACATTAGGATTGTCAAACAAAAATAAAATAAAAATGAGTTAATTTACTGTTTACGTCATCAAAATGTTTCTAAAATTTTTTGAATAATTAAAATTGTAACTACAGAGCAATGAAAATTGGTAAGTATTCACATGGATTGCGTAATATGAAATAGGATGGTAATGGAGACAAGTGTCCAAAAAAATAATGAATAAATAGAGTAAATCAAGGGTTGCTTAGTAAGAAGATGTTACCTAGATGTCAGACAAAAGTTAAAAAAATAAAACATTATTAACAAAGTTGTAGAATCTGGAATTATACTTAAAGAGGGGATGAAGAAGTTTCTTTTGTGTGCATAAATCAGGGTTTTCTATCCGGATCGCTAAAGCCTCCGCGATGCCAAGTATACGGGAGCTTTAAGTTTTCGATGGCCTTTTTTGACTTTGCAGATGACTTTGAATGAATGCTTGGTGCATACTGAGTGGCCAATGTTGACTACATGTTCAATTATAACACTCTGTATTAATCTACTGTTACCTTTTCGTAGCCAAGCGGCATAATATTCTTTGACTCTTTTGGATGTAACACGCATTGAATGACCTATATATCTCGCTCCAGATGAGCAAGTAAATTAGTAGATACTCATAGAAAAGGGTAGAATGTGATATTTTGTCTTTGGAGTTGTCGAAGAACAATGGGCGGCTTGAGAATAACAGTCATAATGTAGTAATGGTGAACGTTCTTTTTAGGGTGTTAGATATTCTTCTCTTTAACATGTTTGGCTAGAAGGTCGGTTTTGAACGCCACATTCATTTATAGCATCTTCTTATCTTTTCACTTTTTCACTTATTTTCTAATGTGTGAAATGAATTCGTCAAAAAAATAACTTTAAGAAGGCATTATGAGTCAGTTAATCCTGCGTAACATCTTAATAACTATCTAGTTGGATATTTTTAGCGATAAGTACTTCAGACAATCAATGCAAACTGAACAGAGAATAATTTATTTGATTCATGATTCATGAATTTTTGATCAGATTTTAAGATGATAAAGAGAGTCTGCCATAAGACGGCATTGTTTATATTTTAAATGATATTTCAATTTATTCATGTCATCGTCAGTGACTAGAGATACACAGAGCCTACTGATAATAAATTTAGAAATATAGCACCGAAAATGACAGTCGGTAGTTACCACAATATAAAAATTAGGTGAATAAATGTGATGCTTATCGTTAACTAGTTGCTGTCAACCGACATACTATCGTATTGATTTCATTTAGAAAGTTAGGCTTAAAAGTACTAGTCTCAGAGTTAATGTGTGTTTGACTCATTTATCCAAATAAAGGCCAGGGGTAGTGCAAATCAGTGGCAAATAAGACTGAATGATTTGCTGATGGCGGGATGCGACATTCCCTTGTTGAACTGCTAGTGTTGAATTCTGTAATGTGACTTGTCATTTCAAATGATAACCAGATAAAATCCTAAGAAATAAGTATCTGAAGTCAAGAATTCGTTAAACTGATATTTAATAATTCGTAACATGTCACCAAGTTCGCTATATCTGTTTTGGAGCAAGAAACACCACACATGTAGACGATAACAGCTTGAAGATGAGGATGTTAACTGTGTAGCCTAAGGAATTATTTCTAAGTTGAGTTTAAAACTGACATACACCGATTTCACGTACTGACAATAAGATACAGTTGTTATGAGACCTGTCTTAAACCAACCACTTTTAGATTGTTATGTGGCTGGTCTAGAAAGTGGTCAGCTGAATTCAGTAGTCCGGGATTTCCAATTGTGTAAGTGACTTCTAGACGACACTTCAATTATTTTTTCTGATACTTGTAATCTGAATCGCATATTGAACTCATTTAAACCCTGGTAACTGACGAAAAATTCCTAGTTGAAATGGTAAACGAATCTAAAATAACTTTTCCTGATGTAGAACCATAATCGAGGAGTCACTGACTCTTACAATTTGTCATGGAACTATCTACTGATAAATTGCTGCGATCGTGCACCTATTCACTGCGAGATAATTGTGATTTAGTCATTCACCACTTTCATTCAACATATGCACAGCTGCGACTCGGTCGATGGAACGGTAGACGATCAGAGAAAAGTTTTGGTCAAAAATGCGTATCCATCTTGTTTCTTAGATAAACAGACAAATATTTCATTTCTGATGCATCCAAGTAAATACCGTTTACCAAAATCCTTGAAAGAATGACCCCAAACTTTATGAAAATGACACTCCTTACAGCAAATCTGAGAGTAGAGCTTTTTAAGTGATCGAAGAGCAAGATGTAACAGTTAACCAGTCATGTACGTATTCCAGTTCACCTGTTCTTGTGAAGTTCAGTATACTGGTCGCTTGGCAAGCCTTCTGTCAAGAAGGTGCATGAACCTCCTACCCCCCAATTAGTTACGACGACGAAGAAGTGGATCTGTACAAAGTGCGATAACTGGGAATATTGTGAACGCTGGTCGGTATTACTCATTAGTAACTCCTTCCCTCATGCAAAAATCAGGAAATAACGTGTCATTCCATCTATGTTTAGCCATCTTTTATTATTATTAATATTAAGAAAAAGAGAAACACAGGCCTTGTGTACGGAAAAACGTGTTCAACCACTTATTTTCATGGCTTTAATCCTCTCGTGTTGGTGAAAATGTCCTTTCACTTATTTCGTGAGATGCAACTCCAACGCATTCCAATCTCTTCACTGTTTTATGTTCACTCTGATAATAATTGATTCGTTAAGTATTTTATCATAATATACAATTTCCTATGTAAAATTATTCTCCACTCAGTATGCCTCCGTTATACTTATGTTAACACTTACTAACTCGGTGACTTCGCATAAATTATCCTTGGTAATATACATTGTTAATTTGCAATGTTTGTACACACTTATAAAATTCACCATTGATAATAATAATGGGAATAATGCGGGTCAGACAGTCTCTTTGATGAATTTCAGAGCTTCTTAGATAAACGTTTCAGACATTGCTACAGGACTTGTCTTTTTCCGGCCATCTTTTGATTGATCTCCACTTACCGGGGACATAACAGTGGCCAGAATCTTTCTGACAAAATGCCTCCCATAATCTTATGTGGTAAATTAATTTCGCAGATCCTTTAAAAAAAGTTGATACGGGTAAACTGTTTTATTAGTAATTTAGAGTTTCTTATTGTTACGTATATTACGTAAATGGACGCATATAATTGTAATATGATATTATTTGGGGAAAACTTGGCAAATCGTATGCATACAGTTAGAATTAAGCCTTGTGAATAAATAGTTTCTCCAACTATTCTAGGGAGCTAGCTGAGATTTTTACGCTATAACGTGATTATGAACTAGTTAAATTGACAAATGAGTAAACAGCATAAAATGGATAATAGTAAGGCATTGCGTTCAACATAAAATTTGACTATAAGCCTCAAATATTGACATTTAACAACTTTAGTAAGCATAAAAGGACCTACATCATGGTCATCTTCAAGTCTCCAAACATTTTCAGGTCTCTTCGGTAAATCGTTTTCAAGACTGTCGTCTTCAGTAGCCTCGAGGTCCTCATTTTCAGCTTTTTCAGATATACCCTAAATAAGAAAGCACACTGATTTTTAATTTTATTTTTCTATTTTATGAAATATTCAATTACACGTAAATAAATTATGTATGCAATCGAAATGCACACACTTTATGGGAAATATTATTTGAATGACTGATTGATGAATTAAAATGAGTCGGAAGCCTTGTTGACAAACACCCTTGTCAACATCCTTTATCAAACTAGAGAGCTTCATAACACAGCCATATTGAAGCATTTAGCTTATATCGGATAACTCATCGACATGCTTTATAAACACTAAACTTTTATATCAGTTATCAGTCACTGGGCAACCTGTTCCCATAGTTTTCGAAGAATACCACTAACTTCGCATAGGTTTGGAGCAAACTATGAAGCGATTTTTACATTTTTTTTGTCTACATTTTAGTTCTTTGAATCCCTTACTCTTAGACTCTCAAAGTCAGAGTCATTTCAGCTAATATTATTATATCCTTTAATTCCTAGAGGAACATAGGGCTTCAGCCGCACGTCTCCATTCCCTCCGGTTTCCTTCCAACTTTTCACACCGCTCCAAGTCTGTCCACATGCTTTTATCTCTTCTTCACGTGACCTTCTCCAAGTCACCCTTGGACGACCAACTCGCCGCTAATATTTTTAAGATAGATAAATTAAGTAGTCTTGCTACAGTATACACATATACCTTATAACTTATGCATTTAAATGACAGAATCATACTAATAAAAATACAGACATCTTAGCCTTAATTAGTTTGAAAACTGAGAATGATATATATATTATCAAAACGTTTGTCAACTTAAATCTGTTGTCTATTGTTTTTTTTAAATGCAAGCAAAGAATTCACTAATATCATCACAGTTTCAAATTACCTGATTATTCAGCATTGTAGCATAGAGGCCTTTCTTAGCCACAAGTTCATCATGAGTACCAGATTCACGAACTACTCCTTTATCAAGTACAATTATTAAATTTGCATTACGAACTGTAGTTAACCGATGAGCGACAACTACACAAGTTCTGCCTTCACTTGCTTTATCCAAAGCTTTTTGAACAATATTTTCTGATTTTGTATCAAGAGCTGATGTTGCCTCATCTAACAGTAATAGTTTTGGCTTTCTTATCAATGCTCTGGCTATAGCAATACGTTGTTTTTGACCACCTGACATTCCACCACCTCGTTCACCTACAAAAGTTTCATATGCCTAAAATTAAAATATAATGAGTGTGTTATCTATTAGCATGGTAAAAATGCTAGTCACTCTGTGGAAATAACTTTCATTCTCACATAACAGTAACAACTTACATCAGGAAGATTTTTTATAAAATCATGAGCATTGGCTAATTTTGCTGCTTCTTCTATCTCTTCTTGTGTTGCATCCAGTTTTCCTAATCTAATATTATCACTGATAGTTCCTTCATAAAGTATTGGTTCTTGTTGTACACATCCAATCTGATTCCGGTAAGCTTTAAGGTCGAGATTCTTTATATTTTCACCTTCAATTAGTACCTGAAAAAGCAATAAGGGTATGAAACTGTCAGAAGTTTACATTGATTTTTGAACACTGTCGTTAACAGAAAACACAGAATCGAATTCTCAACAGGCTTTTACAACTTTTAACTTACGTTTTGGTATGATATTGTTCTACGAGAAGAAAATAATTATTTCTTTAATTATCCTACAAAAATAATAAATTTCAGTTTTGTTTCATTCTTGTCCATTATTTAACTGCAAGCAGTATTTTACATTGTACATGTAAGTACTCGAAATAAGCAATAACCATTCTGTATGGTCGAGAGACTCCATCCTTCATCATTAGCCTTTGCAAAAGGCTACAAACTTTAATCAACAGCTGTCTGCACTTCATTGTGAAGAGCAGGTAACCGACCGGAAATGATCAGCAACCATGATTCAATCAAGAAGGTAGTATCCAAAAAATATGCCGAATGAGGCAGATATTCACATGAAATCAGGCACCAGGCAAATCCTGGAGTGGAATCCGGGTGAGTAATGATGAGTTGAAAGTTAATGTGAGAGTGACATGGAAGAGATTCTGTCAGGAAGAGGAAAAAGCTAATAAGAGGTTGGAAAGTCAGCTAAAAAGAACTACAATGAGCAGAGTGGAGTCAAAATATGCTTCTAAAGCCCTATATTTCATCAGGAACTCAAGTGCATAGTAATAAAATAAGGCTGATAAAAATTAAATTATATCTTGAATATTGCACTTATTTTTAACTCAAGAAGAAAAATGTTTTACCGAATAAAAGAAATTGAAAAAATACGAATAATTGTCTCATTAGAACATCAAAGAACTGTTCAATTTATTAGTCGGTTTTAATTTTGGCATTATAAATGGGTGACAAATTACTTCAGTCTTAATGCCAGACTAATCTCAACAAAAACAGACTGAATACATGTTCACATAAGTAATACCTGATAGAAAATTTTTAAAAAGATGGTTTTTGTAAAACAAAATGGAATTAACCATAAAAGACTCAATAATGAATTAGAAGATGGCAAAGACCTCGTGCATATGAACATCATTATGATCGATATGAACAGTACTATCTCAGAATTTGACATATACTTGAAAAAAGTTTAAGAAATTTTCGACATACACTCAAAGTTTTACTTTTCTTTAAGTTAAAATGATGAAATAATCTTTCCAAGGAATACCACGGTTTTTTAAACTAAAAATATCAGTTTATCAGATATGAGTACAGCTTATTTAGAGTATTTATTAATAATAATTTCCAACTATAGAATGTTTGTTTTTTCATAAACCCGAACTAATTCTTAGAGGAACTTGAAACTGACAACCTACGCGTTAATTAAAGAATCAGGCATATATTACACCTACCTCGCCTTCCACTGGGTCATAAAATCTTTGCAGCATATGAACGATTGTACTTTTACCGGAACCACTTGGTCCAACAAGTGCCACTGTTTGACCACTTTTGATTGTTAGAGAAAAATTCTTAAGAATCTGAAATGTGAAACAAAAAATTAAATTAAATGTATAAAGAAATCGACGGAAAATTGTATTTTCAAATGCTCTGAGACTACACCTAATTTTTTTCAAAAATTTCGGCTTTACCCACTTCGGTGGTACATATACTCAGCTGTACTTGTCAATATGTCTTAGTTCGCATCTGTCTTATCCTGAATGCTTGAATAACACACTAATTACATCACAATATATTACAGTGTTGAAAAGTTTCAGGAAGCAATGTCTGTTCAAACTGAAACAATTTCTGCGTCGGCAGCATAGCGGTTAGGACGCTCGCCAACCATGTACATTGTCCGGGGTTCGATTCCCGGCCGACGCACTTTTACCTCGCTAAGCCAGAAATAAAGCTGGTAAGAATGAAAGGTTGGGCATGAGGCTAGCAACCACATCCTGTAAAATAAACACTGCTGCAGAAACTTCAAGTCTGTAGCTTGGAGCCCTATGTTCCACTGGGGAACGTGAAGGGAAAAAAATTAACGATTTCCATAATTGAACAATACATCATAATGACATGCGTTCATAATATTTTCGAAACCTTGTATATTGTAGAGTAGATAAATTAATGATAATTATATTTCATACATTTGGTTCCCTAGATAAATTCTGATGCATAAAGGAAGACGAAATTTGCAGTATAAAATGATATCATTCTATTCCACAGTTTCTCATCAGCTGCAAACGATCTGAAATTACTATGGTTACATAGGTGATTATAACATAATTTAATGTTTAATTGGTAGTAGAGAAGAAATACTATAAAACCGACACATCCGAAATGTAAGCATTACAATTTTTAGTTTAATTTTTCATCAACAATTTATACTCTAAAGAAAAAATCCCCATTTAGACATTTAGAAAACAGAAAGATTGAGCGAAGAAATATTTACTTTTCGATTAGATCCTCATCTTTGGCTCTACTCTAATATATATAGCATTTTAATTACAATACAACAGTTTGCCAATTAAGTGGCGATAAGTTTGTTAACAATAATTAAACAGTGTCAATGGGTTAATAGTTAACGAAGAAAATCAATACAGATTTAAAAGGTGGAAATGGATAGAATAAATTAATTTTACAAGAATAACACGTAAATTAAAGATAAAGTGGTCAAAATAAATAAAATAAATAAATAATTTAGACAAATATAATTTTATAGGTTTAGGGGGATGACGCAGTCCTGTTTATCCATTCTTGCGACGATGGCCACGGTAGGGAAAGTGGCTGTACAAATTTTTTCTGTACACATAGGCTTGTCTTCTTCAGATAAATGCCAATCGCCTCAGCCGTCTGTAGAAGACGAACTCGCAAAGCAAAATTAAGATAAGTTGGAATGCGATAAATAATTTTAAATGCTGTATTAACATCAATCTTATGCTCAGTATCAACGAGGTTGGCTAAAAAGAGCTACGAATAGATCTTTTTTGTCCCTTACTTAACCACGTTGGATGATGTTCGAAATACGACGATGAACTTGCCTAAGATGAACTCTGTCAAAGTAGAAAAGAGTGGGAGGATAAGACAGAAAACAGAAAAAATTAACAAACAGTACTGGCTTGTAGGTTCACATAGCAAGTCAAAAAACAAAAGCGGTTACAGTTTAGAAAATGAGATTTGTTCAGTGAGTTGAGATCACTGAATTAGATGACTAATCAAAATTCTGTTACCAAGGGAGTGAGAATTTAATCACACTTTCTTTCTGTATGCATAAGTCTGGTTTGAATCGTTTTTTCACGATTGCTTCGGCGAGTCGTAGTAAATTTGCTGTCTTTTGTCTATTTAATATTTTGAAGGACTTAGAAATCTCTAAGAGATGACCAGTATCAACGATATGTCTGGTAATTGCACCCTGAGAATATTCGCTACCTTCCAGGCATGGGTTTCTTGGAACATGTTCAGAAAACCGGATAGAAGCTCTTCTTTCTGTCCTTTCAATGTACTTGCTCCCATAAGTGCACGTGAATTCGTTAACGCAGTTGGAGGTGACATCAGCAAGGTGTTTATCCAGTTTCGATTGGTTTACAGAAGAAGTGATGCTGTATGATGTTATGAATTTGGCTGCAATGAAGCTTCTTTTTATTGCACGTTTCAGTCTTTTGCCAATCTTTCGTGACACTGCATCTCCTTTATATGGTAGACAAATAAACACTTTCTTCTTTTCTACAGTTGTGTGTTTTTCTTTCGTATTAGTTTCTCCGTTATACTTTTGCATTCATTTTGTATTCATTTTCTCTTAGGCATTTCTCGACGAAACCTAATTCTTCTTCGACCTTGTTTAGTGAACATAGCTTCCTGACTCTGTCGTACAAAGTCCCCACAAATCTACGTTTGTAGGTTATGTGACAAAAGCTTTTATGGTGAAGATATTGCCCAGTATACATTTCTTTTCTATAGATGGACTTTTCGATCGTACCTTCGTTTGTTCCTTCTATATTTAAATCCAGGAAATTGATTTCATTATTACTTTCATATTCCATGGTGAATTCGATGTTTGGATGGGCCTCATTTAGGCGATGATATAATACCGATGTGTGATCCATGTCGTTGCAAACTGCAAATGCCTCATCACCATATCGGTGATAGTAGGTTGTTCCATTGATAACAGAACTCAGCTGTATCTGTTCGAGGTAGCCTGTGAAATAGAATGATATCATTTTGTAGTACAAATTTCGTCCTCCTTTCTGCATCGATAATTATATTTCACTGAATGTTCGCATAATAAATGATACGTTATTTTCTGCTGTAACTATTTAACTAGAAATATTATCAAAAGCAAAAAATATACCATAATGTTTGTAAACGGACATTGGAAGGAAAATAAATTACTTTGATTTGACGCTACATGGTAACAAATGTCATGCGTCTGGTCTTTCATTTGGTACAGATTGAATTATATCAGTCAGGTTCAAAATATGGCCAACATTCTAGGTGGTTAGCTATCATGGTGCGTAATGAATTTTTGTGAGACAGTTGGAAGCAGTCGGCAGGGATTCTGTGACCTGAGTTCCGGCTTGTTGGCACTTATCAAGAGTATATATCTGCGTTTTAATAGGGAGACATTTCGCTTCTGAGATTCGGAAGTGGATCACTAAGTTTTCAATTAAAGTATTCTTTGCAGCCCTACATGAGGTTGGTTACGAATTCCAATAGTTTAGTGTTAACGTATCTGACTGTGGAGGAGACTGATGTGAGTTCGAATCTCGGAAGGTATTTGTGTTCTTTCATTATTGCAGATACACCTCGATGACGAATGCCAGCAAGCACGAAACCCAGGTCGAAGGCTACCTGTTGATCACCTTTAACCATCTAACAAAAAGAATGATTGAGTGACTAGCGTTGAATTCAAAACGGCCTCAAGGAGTTGCACCTTCCTGTCTGTCTGTTTTCGACATAAAACACTGCATATATGTACGGCAGTTCAAGTCGCCACACTCCCCACATGTAGCACACAAAGCAAGAGAAGAAATGCATATTAGAGACAGTAAACAGAGGTGTGAGACAAGGAAATAGTAATAACGAAGAACAATGTGGTTTCATTGGAATCATAAGTCACAAGGAGTAGATGCATCTGCGCCAGTAAGAACGATTTTGAGCCATGTCACCAATTGTTTCCAACCATTGGTTTTTACCGTCCGCAGGACCCCAACAGGAAGTCTACACCAGGTGAGGTCAAGTGAATGACCACACTCGGGTCTTGTATGCGTGTCTCCAAAACACCACATACATCCATGACTCGAGTTGCCAGAGTTATTGCTATTGATGCTTGTTGTCCGATTTGGCAGAGGGTCCTGACGTTAAATGTTCCTATATGAAGTTGGTTACGTGGCTTTAAAAGGCTGTCTGGGGTGTTTCTATGGCTCTCACCGTTGTTCGTGGTCACAGAGTGAAGTGAAGATGACTCATTAGCCTGCAGAATAGTACTAACTGTAGTAGAGAAGCAAGATGAGAAAGGTGATGTGAGTGAAGTGGAATGATGCTCAGGAAGGCTTTGTGTGCTTTTTGAAGTGTGTGGGCGGTTGTTACTTCCTGGCTGCCCACAACGTGAAAGTTGATTGATTCTTCCTATCAAAGAGTATATTATTTGTTTACGCCATACTCTCTGATTTGAAGTGAAATGCACTCCAGATGGAGCCTATAATGATAAAATGCCAACAATTCAGATACTTTTCAAAAGACAGCAATATTTTATGCTATGTATCCTGTCATCGAATCATTACAAGGAGAAGCAGAAATAAAATCTGTTTTGCGAAAACTATCCTTAAAATTGTAGACATTCATATCTTGATGATATCTAACAAACGTATATACTTAATGCGTAATATCACCATTATAAGAAAACTGACACTAAGACACTATTTTAAAAAAAAATTATTGTGAATTGTTTGCTTTACTTGAATAAAAAGTCATATGAGGTACATTTTAATTTTTCTATAGGACTTATAAAATCCTTTATGCATTTGCACTTCTAAAAATCTACAAAACACAACAATTTCTAATAGTGTCTATTTATAGTAAACGTTGTTCCTGTTATGTATGATTCATTGTTATTAAGCTAACTAAAAAGGAAAGAAGCGGACATCAAAATTTTATGTGTATATATGGCATGATTACTTACTGTAATATCTGGTCGGCTTGGATATACAAACGAGACATTATTGAATGCCACATTTCCAGAAAACTCTGGAATAAGACTTCCAGTACGATTTTATCAATATTTGGAACCTGAAGCGGAATAAAATATTCTGCAGTGATTATAAACTTCATAATGGATAAACAGAATTATACCTACTTTGATGCATTAGATCTAAAGTTAATCAGTCAAACTTAAATTTGTTATTCTAATGTTGAGTTGCAGGGATTTGATTGGTTTCAGGATTTGATCATTAACTAACATCGGTTACAGAACCATTGGACATCCATTTGTCTCGTCCTAGTTTGGGACTCTTCGTCAGTACGCAGTTACTGGGGCTCGAACTCAGGACGTCCCGGTTATAAGGCACGTCTGTGAACCATTAAGCCACTTGAACCCATTAGTGGTCGTGCCATATTGTGAATTGGTAGAATTCAGAATTCATGGACCACTAGATCGAGTCCCAGTGGCTTAATGGTCTACAAACGCGCCTTTTAACCAGAGGGTCCTGCGTTCGAGCCCCACTGAAGAGTCTTAAACTAGGACAAAGCAATTGTCCAGTACTCCCAGTTTTTCTCATGGTCGTTTAACCAGTGTCAGTCCCTGATGAAATCCTGAAGCCAATCAAATTTTTGAATATTTTTAGCCAACTTTAGATTCTTTCAGATGAATGAAATAAATATTAATGCTAAAATTCGACGATAATGTTGTATATTTTATTGAAAGTTTTCAGTTACAGAGAAGTTAATAAAAAATATTTCAACAAGGAATTTGTTTTGTTTTTTCTTTTGTTTAAAACTGAGACTGCCAGCAGATATAATTTTTTATTATCCTACTGACATCTACATAGTTTGAATAAAAAAATTATATTCTAGGTATATTGAAATATACGAACATTCTTCACTTAGCTTTTTTGTTCTCATTGTGTTTAGTAGTGTATGATAAATGCAAGTTCACGTCAATCAGAAATTAACTTAACCCTTATATAGTGAAAACACAGTCTAAACTACATATTTGTTACATAACTTAACTATATTTTTTCTAGGCTTTGAAGTTTCTGTAGCCATTCGATTGATTTTTTGGGATAGAGCGGCTAGCCCTATACCCAACCATCGTTCTTTTTCTGAGTTTTGGATCGACTTGTAGTAAACAGTTAAAATAGGCGGGTCGATAAAGATGGATTAAACACATTCTATGGTTACCGTTCAGTGATATCATACGTCACACCCTCAAGTAGAATCTGAGTGGGAAACGTCAAGGTGGGTGTGAGTACGAGGTTGACAGGGAAGAGATGGTGTAAAAAGGAGTTGAATACCGATGAACCATCCTGGAGCCACGTGAAAACGACCGCAAAGAACAGAGTGAAATGGAGGTATGCTGTTGAAGTCCTGTACTCCACTGGAAACTCAAGAGAATAATAATGGAAATGAAACCAAATTAATGCAGAAAGGAACTTACGCGTTCGATTGTACCATAAATTTCAACGGCAGACGCTTGAGCATTCATGAAATATTGAAAACTAGGTAGAGCATTACCAAGAAAGATGCTCCCAAGGAGAACGTTAATAAATATCTGTAAGCAAATTAAGTGACATTGAGAATTACTTTGTTAAAAGCTTTTTACGCTTATAAGGACACACGACTAATCTATGTATGTTACCTTAAAGCAGTGAATATAATTACGCTCATGATGGAAACAGAGCTGAGAATCCTAGTAACTTTGATTGGGGAACAAGTGAAAGATTCGTAAATAAAATTTGGCATCTTAATGAATATTCCACTCCATTCCGACTGGAATTAAAGAAAAGAAAGAAAGAAGAAGAGGGGTAATGGATATCTCTTTTACTCTAGCACTTGACTGTTCAGCCGTGACACGCGAGCATAGTATTTGTATTGATAAGAGAAATTATTGTGGTAAGTGTATGAACGAACTTTCACTCAAGTGAAACATCATCTAAAGAAACCGTGAACCTCCACTCATCATTTTGATTCATCCTATAAACTTCTGTAATTTAGATTTATCGGGACGGAAACCTACACCTACTTATTGTAAAGTGATTGTTAGGCTTTTATGATAGATAACAGAGAATTTTACAGTCTTCAGAGAATTCATTCACACTGTTCTGTGCAACTGAAAATCAGTGGTTCAGAGGTAGAATGCTCGCCAACTACGCCAAAGGTCTGGTGTCCGAACCCCTGGCCGATGCACTCCTAAATCTCGCTAAGTTGGTAATAGTACTAGTAAAGAGGGAAGGTTGGGCATGAGGCTACCAACTTCACGCCATCTAAATAAATAGCACTGCTGGTACTGTAGTCTGAGGCTCTATGTTCCACTGGGGACGTAAAGAAAATAAATATGCACTTGAAATGCTTAAATTTATTTCAAAGGCAGCTTCCTTTATCGATAAAAGTCACTTTCAACACAGATAATTAATTATTATTTTATTACAGCTTGATTCCACACAGTACCTTTTGGTAGAAGTATGGAATTTTCAGCATGTGACATCGGTAGCCCAAATTTTGCAGGTCGAACATTGATATCGGGTATGCATCGGCAGGGGATCGAACCCCGGACCATATGCATGGTCGGCGAGAGTCCTAACTACTGTGCCACCCATACTCTTTTTAAGCTACTAAATAGTTCATTGTTTCTTGTGAAAACATGAACATAAAACGTATTTATTCATAAACAGTTACATGACAGGCATTCCGAAATATATTGTAAGAAAACAGTTCGTTGTCTGTTTTTCAGACACCACCTGATGTAAATAATATTTTTATAATATTAACTTCAATTGCCTTCCCATCTGTGATGTTCTAAATTACCAAAAATTTTAAAGTATAATTGATTTATAAATTATCCTTTTCTAAAAATATTCAGGGAATTCAAAATTGCTGTTAAATATACACACTTTAAGTGGATTAATTTAAATCGATACTAGATCAACATTATAACAACATGACTCTTTTTTGAATTGAAATTAATCTCAATTTTTTGTCTACTAGACTGTTTACTTACTCTCCCGTTTGTTAACAACTGCATGATAAAATCCTTCATGTCCTACAGTTACAAAATAGATACGCTTGGTAGAACAGGTAAGTTTTTTTCTATATTTTGGTTTGTAAGGGTTAGTTATGTTTTTACGAATTGATCACGGATTGTTATAAGTTAGAGAACCATTGAATTGGTAGAAGTTAGAATTCATGAGCCATTGAATTGGGTCCCAGTGGCTGAATGGTATACGAGCCAGCTTGTCTTGTAACCGGAAGGTCCTGTGTTCGGACCCTGGTGGTGGGTGCGTACTGTCGATGATTCCCAAACTAGGATGAAACAGCAGCTGTCCAGTACTCCGTGCTGGTTTTCACTTTTTCTCTAACTGATATCAATCCGTGATCAACTCGTAAAAAGAATAGGCAAGTAGAAATTTTAGATAACTAATGGTCTTTGGCATTTATATTATGTTTCATGAGTGCATATTTCTAGTGTTTAATAGGTACTTTTTTGTTTAAGAAATGCTAGTTATCTGTAGCTATTTATTACATTTCAAACAAATTTAGGTTGTGAAAAAAATAATCAAATTTTGCACTGTACACTATTTAAAGTGGATTTTTTCATAAAAGAAATACAAGGAAATATTTGTACCCTTACACAGGGTTTCAATAAACTGACTGTGTGTACAGACATCATACTTCGTCCATTTCTTTTCTCCTTTCGATATAATTTTCAGTTGTTATTTCAGTATTTTTATGTGTCATTTGTTCATACATACTTTGATAATCGTTTATAAATGAGGTGTAAACACAATGGTTAGACATATAAATTAGAGATGATCCAATAATGCTTAGTTACATTAATTTTTGGACGGAGTTCCTTTAGTCAAATATATTATTTTTTTACTTCTCTATGTTCCAACCGGAACATAGGGCTTCCACTAGAGCTTAGAAGTTTCACTAATAGCGGTGTTTATTTTTACGGTATGAACTCGCTAGCCCTATGTCCAAACTTCCGTCTTTACCGGCCTTAGTGCCGGCTTAGTGAGGTTTAGAAGTGCGTTGGCCGGGGATCGAACCCTAACCTTTGGTGTGGTTGACGAGCGTTCAACTGTTGAACCACCGACGACGCCATAGTAAAATATGTGCAATTCCAAAAATCTAAGAGTGGTAACCATATCATGTGTAGAAATACATTTGTTTTGAATTACACTGTAATACTATGGTTTGTTGGATAGTTAAAAGCAATCGGTAGGAAGTCTTTGACCTAGGTTTCGGGCTTGTTGTCACTTGTCGGCAAGACGTATCTGCAATCTTGAATAAATTCACACTGCTTCTGAGATTCGAACCTATGTCACCCAGTGCTGCAGTCAGAGACATTAACACTGATCTATTCAGAATCACAATTAACCTCCTGTAGAAGTTTAATGGAAACTTTGATTGGAAACCAGATGAAACTAATATCCTACGTCAGGTATGAAAACTTGAACAATAGAATTCAGTCTGCATCAAATGAATGACTAGACCCATAACGGCCACTACTATCTAGTGTACAATCAAAGAAATTATGCATTGGTAAGCTATCTATATAATTTCGTATCGAAATTACTTAGTCGAAAAAGTTGGAGTTGTTTTATTTAGCTAGCGCATAAGATAGCCATAAGTAAAACGATATTAGCAAGAGTGTGGATTGTTAGAAGTGAAAACTGAAATAACTGTATTAAGTTTACTGACTATCTGAAATCATTATCAGTATTTGTCCAAACCTCTGCTTAACATTTGACAAACTTTATTTTCAAAATAAAACTGTGAATAAAACTTCATCTGTTCAAGTTACCACACTTTTGAAAAGTATACATAAAATCAGAGAAAATTAATTTACTGAAGCTACACTGAAGAGAAAGGATAACTGGATGAAGATTAGTGATGATTTACAGAAACTGAATGATAACATGCAGTGACAGACATTTTGAACCAAGACACCAACAGTCTCAAAACATTCATTCTTGTCATCCCATGAGCAAAATATAGACATTCTGGACCTCAATACTTGAGTGAAACCAACCATCAAAGGTTTCATAGATTGACTAATGTCACATTTTTGTCTGACTGAAGCTGACTGTTTTATAGGCTAGTTTTATGTCAGTTAACTCTGATTTTTGAGAATGCTGCTATTTCAACATTTGCAATATATCTCCTAGCCATCTCAACCGATGCAGCCTGGTAAACTTAATGGTTTGCCTCCCTCCTTGTCTCACAGCTTCATTACAACTTTATTGCTGCAGTGAGTATGAGAGGCTGAACAATGGCACGTATGGTTGAATCATGCAATTGATATATGAATAAAATTTATGCAATGTGGTAGAGTGTAATTCCATTATGGATAAATTTTGTTTTGATAAAGTCTGACAGTGTTATATAGTATTGTTTACTGATAACGTTTCGAGCACAAATTATTGCTCATAATCATATCAAGTTACCCACACAACTGAGCAATAAATTGTGCTCGAAACGTCATCAGTAAACATTACTGTATAACACTTTGAGACTTTATCAAAACAAAATTTACGCCATAATAAATCATGCAATATTTAGTACTTCAAAGAATTTCTCAGATTATCGCTCTTGATTGAAACTATTGCATAACACATAAAGACTAGATCATTGCAGTGTATTATTTTTGTTAAATTCTCACATAGGTCTCAGATAGATTGATTTTTAAAGCAGCTAGGAACCAAGGGAACAATAATAATAATTAAAATTTAATATAAGCATATATGTAGTGGTGGAAAACGCTATTACATTTTTAAAAACCTTAGTAAATTCTGTTTAATGGATAGTAACTAGCCGTAGAATCTAGGATGTGAATTTCGTCCTGCTTGTAACTCGTTAGTTAGAGATACCTGCAATCCACAGTGAGCAATGGTGTTTCCACCGAGACTCGGACCTAGCACGCGTCGTTTGAAACGCCAGAACTTTATTTATTGGACCACTTAGACCATAACAGCCTACCCTTTATATTAAATAAATTTTGTTGAAATGAACATCTTCAAAAAAATAATTAATAAATAAACTGAATGATTCATGGATAATCCCCATACAGGCATGAATGAAAACGAAACTCGTAGATCAGTGAAGAGTCTCTTTTCGGCGAATTCATTTTCTTAGCTGTACAATTGCAAATATATATGAGTTATTTTGTATGTATGTGTACATTAAGTTTGTCAAACAAAATTACAATTGGTTATGGTTGTTTTAACTAGACAGGTGAAAATTGGTAATTGGAGTTACGTAATACAAAATCAGTCAAGAAAATTAGGTGTTAATGAAATTAAGTTAGTAACAAAGGTGGTGAGTTGTTACCACCCTAATTTCATTATAACCTAATTTTCTTGACTGATTTTGTATTACGTAACTCCAATTACCAATTTTCACCTGTCTAGTTAAAACAACCATAACCAATTGTAATTTTGTTTGACAAACTTAATGTACACATACATACAAAATAACACATATATATTTGCAGTTGTACAGCTAAGAAAATGAATTCGCCGAAAAGAAGCTGAATTATCTTCTTTTTTTTGTGAATTATGATTTCCACTGTTATCACTTAAGGAAAACAGGGATTTTTCAGCTTCATTAAAACTGTTCATTTCATAAATACGTATGAAATAAATGTGAAATAAATATACAATAAATAAATCTCTCTGTGCTTCTAGAATTTTTGAATGACTGCTTAGATATAATTTATGTTCATATCGTCTCATCTGCTGATTGGATACGTAAATACACATCTAATAATCTTATAACAGAATATCACACACAACCGATAAATAAGAGAAACTTTTGACAGATATTTACTTGAGTACATGTGAAATCTTTAGACCCTATAAAAGTTTTATCCATAAGGGTTACAGGATTTCCTCACAAGCTGATGGCAGTTAGAGAACCATTGGAAAACCAACGGGAAGTACTGGGCAGCTGTTTCGTCCTAGTTTGGGACCCTTCATCAGTGCGCACTCACCAGTGGGTGGTGAACCCAGGATCTTTTGCTTAAAATGAGGCGAGCACGCAGACCATTAAGACAATGGGACCCAATCCAATGGCCAGCGCATTAATTCCAACTTCTGCCAATTCACAACATAGCGCGACCACTCACCAATTTCTTCGGTGAGTATTTGTCTTCACACCCTATCTTCTGTATCTTACTGGTCACGAACTCCTCTTGAAATCACACGTTACTACCTACCTGAATAGGCAAGTCGCTAGTGCGCATCTCATTGATATTCAAGTATTGGTCTGTAGGGATTTTATTGACTGTTGAACTATTTATCATTCTTCTTATACATTATTAGAAACAGTAATGAATTCACACAAATTTTTCCGGTTCTAATGGCAATGGAAGTTATTTTTACCCATAAAAACATGGATTAGAAGAAGTCATAGTGATAAGTTCATCGAATCGTCAAGCACCTAAATATCAGGGGAAATTTGCAGGAATTTCTACAGAAATCAGACAAAATAAACAACATAACTTTTCACACAAGTTCATAGCCCCCATTTACAATCAGCTATTTATTTAAAAAAAAATAGATTAAACAACATACCAGGATAACTGATCCAGATTTGTAATTTTCTTCAATGATTAATTTAATACCATACCAAAATATCAAAGCAGAGGAACAGAATATTGTCAATCCTATAGCACCGTTCACTGAAATATAATAAAACACAGCATATATTATGGATAATTTCACTGAGTTTAGTATACTTTGCTTTAAGGTTGTTGAGCGCATGTTTTCAAAAACTAAAATTATAAACAACTTCCAGATTACATAATATATTAATTTAAACTCACTCATTATTAACAGAAAGACTAATCTCTGAAGATTTTCCCTAAATACTTTGAGATGATCTCAGTTCCCACCCGACGCACTTTCTAAACATCACTTCATCGGTGATACATCTTGTAAAGAGGGAAGGTTAGATGTGAGGCTAGCAACCTCACCTCACCTCACCAAAAAGCACTGCACCTACTGAAAATTAGGATGGAAGACAGGAAGTCCTAAGTCCTACTCAGAACGTGAAGAAATGAACGAAATCTCCCAGTTATGGATATCACTTTTAGTCGAATTCTTTCAGTTCATAAGTTAAAAACGAATAGAATAAGGTATTTAAATTTCTTTAATGAAGTATGTAGTTGTAGAAACTAGACTCCGATTCAGTATATTTATCTTTATTTCCATCTGTTATGAATAGATGATATAAGAGATTTAAATAAAACTTCGTGCCGCAGTACTGGTTCTATATTAGTACGGATGAGAAAAGTTGAAGTACGACAAAGATAAATGGAAATAAGCATGCAATACTGGCTAAAGATTGTGAACCATGAAATGTTTATGTTCATATTATAGGCTTCTACTGATTACTTGTAGCATGGCATCCTGACTAGTTTTCAACAGACAGGGGATATTTCAGAAAACAGATGATACCTTCATTCAACTGTAAAATGACCAATAGAATATAAATATTTCTGAAGGTGGTAAGTATTTCATAAAGAAGTTATTTGACCTAAGTCAACTTTAGCAACAAAGCAAAGTCATTTTTCGGTTACACTTAATTTTAAAAATTATCTGCTCATTTATTTATTCCAAAAATACTTCACAAAACAACAGGTGAAGTAGCATTAACTTTCGTCAAACGAATATTAGTTTGTTAGTTTCAAGAAAAATTCACTATCTATTCTTACCTCCACCAGTTGCTGTTGACTTCCGAATGCTAACTTTTTCAGCCAAACCTAATTGTTCTCTATACCTTTCCGATTCTTTTTTCTCTCCACCGAATGCGACAACAGTACGTACAGACTCCAATACTTCTCCAGCAATTGAACCTGCGCGAGCGTATGCAGCTATTTCTTTGAATGTGAAATATTTCATGATAAATCCAAAGCAACCAAAGACAGCAGAAATAATAGGTAACATTGCACATGCAACAAGAGTCAATTTCCATCCTTCAGCAAAGCTTATCACAATGCCCGTTATGAATCCTGATATATATTTTACAAATTCTCCAAATCTTGGTCCAATCCCAGTTTCAATGATATCAATATTCTGAGATAGCTTACTGATTAGTGCTCCAGAGGACTGTTCATCAAACCATGGGATATCCTGCCGCAAAATACTCTGTGTAAAATAAAATCAAAAATTTATGATAAAAGGCGAAATGATGGTTGAATCACTTTCTTGAATTTCCATTTCCTCATTTTATATAAGAAATATTTTAGAGTCTTTCTCGTGCTTTATTCCCGTTAGTATTTAAACTCCAAATAGCTGCGAAACTGAGAAATTAATACATATTCATTCCAACAACTTCCTGAATATTCTCAAGTGTGTTGGTGGTAGACCAGCCTAAATGTGACTAAATGTATTCTACTACAAAATCAATCGACTAACACTGAAGCATCTCATCAGAACTTAATTTTCCCTGATATATTTACCAGTAAAGCATGTTACTACCCAAGCTAGTTGAAACTATTCACCAAAATCACAAGCTGTCTGATTCTGTGCAGTTATGTGTAAAACATATCACGTATATATATATATATATATATATATATATATATATATATATATATATATATATATATAAACAGAAAGTGACAAAGAAAATGAAACAATTAATTAATTGTGATGCATCACATGAATTTGTTGTCAGTACCAACTAGGGGTTGACTGGTATTCAGTAGACTGAAATGAAATGGAGTGAATTCTCGATGAAGAGGATCAAGTTGCCACACTTCATTAAGCAAACACAAAGGCAGAGGAAAATGTGAAAAAACCGTAATAAACAAAAATCCAGGGTAGAAAGAATAATCACGATTTTCACCCATGTTGCAAACATTCTTCAGGCACTGATTCTTAATCTGTCGAGTATCCCGATCAGATAATCTATATCTCGTTGTGTAGCTTCATCCAAACTTCAACTGATTCCCCGTCAGCTCACGTTGATCGACGTGTGAGGCAATGTTTAGTATGCGTAACACTTGTCCTAGCCATATTAACCTATGCATCTTCACAACAGCATAGACTAACTTCCCCACTTTTACTTAACACTGTACACCCAGTTTCACCATTACTTCCTATACCATACTAACCAACATGAGCGATTGAATGCAAAGAGGTATGGTCAGAGATTGCCAGTTCCTTCCCACCTGTCACTGTAAACGGCTGTAAAGTAGGATGGAGACAAACTCTGAGTGGCACTCCAGAATTGATACAATCTGGTGAATTTTCAACAAGCGTTTTGTATGTGAGCTGAGATGTCGTCAGCAACCAGTCTTTTAGGGCTGGCGCATTTCACCAAGGAAGTAAAGTGACCAGCAAACCTGACCATGTCGCACTCTATCTCTAAACTTTTAGTTGGTACAGATTAGTCTTGTAATATTATCCTACACTTAAAGAAGGCAAATCATAAACAAAACTCACTGAGATATATGCCTAACATGTTACGAAGACTAAGCATTTTATCAGCCTGTTTACCCAGAGGGACTGCATAATTTGTAAACTATAAATCAAAAAGACACTTTCCTGGTAACAAAATAATCCCGGTTTCATCGAAGCTGACAAGCGTCAAATCCATTAGTACGGCTATGATGAAATCAAACAAGGATGGAGATATTAAACATCCCTGATGGACGCCATTGGTCGACATTAGTTTCTCTGACAGACATAGTCAAGCACATTTCGGTCGACTGTCATGCTAAGATTCATAGCCGTATGCATATTAAATGGAACTTGTAACTAACAAACTTTTGAAGATTAAGCGGGTTTCAAGCATGGATGAGAGTGCATTAGTCATCTACGGACAGAACTGTAGTATTTGTGGTGTGAAAGCAGCTTTCAACTATGTCGACTAACATTCTTTGTAGCAATTTCTGCCGGTAAATGAAGCACTGAGAATTTGTCATCCAGAGTGAAAACAGTACCATCATTTATGCTACGTAAGCCTAACCATTACTTCTTGACCATAAATGTTAACCAAATGAGAATTGCTACGGAAAAGTTTTAGAACAGTTCAGATTAAAACAAGCCGAAAATGGAAGTCTCAGTATCATAGGGAGAGTCGTGTAGGTGCTAAAAACCAGCGCTTGGGGGGTCTTTGTGAAATGCAGTCCTGCGATTAGTATATCCACCTCTTTCACGTCCTGGGAAGATTCATCATTCTGCGCAAAATGTATTTTTCCATAAAAATCTCCAGTCACCATAGTGTAAGAACGTTACTGTTTTTTCTCTCATGCGTCCATTTATTAGATGTAGCACCTTATAACCATGTACTTCTTTAGCCGATCCGACAGTTCATACAATTGTCTAATAATAACAATGGACAACATTAGTGACAAATACTTTAATTCCTCAAGCTGAAAGTAAAATTGGTAGTGTAGTGCTTCTAAATCGAAATTCCTATGAGCTTTATGTATGACTGGTTGCATACTGAATGGATATACATTATTCACACGTGAACTTCCATTCCATTTAAGGTTACTGCCACAGTGTTCAAGTTTTACACATATAATAATATGACTTATGGTCTTACTGAATGAAGACTTATCAATAAACTGACTCGACCTTTGCAAACTAAAGCGAGATATGAACATCATCGTATTTTCAACATCCGATGCTTAAAAAATGAAATCATTCCTAAATACCTACCTCGACGAACTCGAGTTCCAATGGACAGATTTAGAAGCAAAAAGAAAGCCTACAAAAATTATGCCTGAAGGAAGAAATCCACCGATTCGTTGAAAAGTTGCAACATATCAAATGTGAAATTGAGCAATTAAAGCAAAAGTTAATAGGAATAGTTACTTATGCAGATTATGATCCTATAACATAGTCCTCTAGAAATGCAAAATCAGCAACTTTCAAAAAGTCAAAAAATAATCAAATCAAAAAGTTCAGTAAATTATTAGAGGAGAAATCTTCATCTCAGGACGATGAAGTCAACAATCCGAAGTCAACAGCGATCAATAAAACAACGTAGGTTATCAATCTCTCAACACATATATTAAGTCCTACAGAAATAAGTCTTTAGAAAAAGGACTAAATTTCAATATATCAGTAGACAAGCTGAAACCTGAGGATGTCATCCCTAAATTAGAAATATCACTAAGTGGGATAGACAAAAAACGGTTGATTAAGTAGGAGCATAATGTGTACTTACATTAAAATGACAAAATGTGGAAAGCCTAACCTGACAAAATCAGAGATAGAAGCCCTGAAACACCTTAAGAATAACAAGCATATAGTAATCACAAAGTCAGACAAAGGAAGTGCAACAGTAGTGTTAGACAAATTAGACTATGTGAACAAGGTGAATACTCACATACAAACAGGACCATGTGAGGAAATTAGTAAGTTAATAGACACAGTTATGAATAAATTTCAGATGTCCACAGCGGACCTTATATGCCGAATGAAGCCATTTCTAGGTGAGTCTAAGTGGTTTAATTTAATGCCGAAAAATAATAACCCCAATAGGATGTAAGGTGTTGTTAAAGTTCATAAGTCAGGATACCCTATTAGTCTGTCTGTCTGTTTTCGACATAGAACTTTGCACAAATGTGCGGAAGTTCAAGTCGCCACATTCCGTGTAGCACGCGAAGCAAGAGAAGAAAGTACAAGAAAAGCATAATAGAGACAGTGAGCAGAGGTGTGAGACAAAGGAGTAATAAAGGAATACAAAACAGTTTCATTGAAGATCATAAGTCACAGGGAGTGGATGCATTTGCGCCACTGAGAACGATGAGTTTGAGCCGTGTCACCAATTGTTTCCAACCATAGATTTTTACCGTCCCGAGGACCCAGCCTGGAAGTCTACACCTTCCTACGTGGCTAAGACCAACTGTTGTGGATTTCATTGACTGATGCCAAGTTTTTGTTAGACCTATAGTTGATTTTAGGAATTCACCTACTTAAGAATTATCTAAATATTTAGCCATGGTATTAGGTCCCCTTAAAAGCCACTCAAAATCTAGACTAACAAATTCTTATGAACTAAAACACGGATTAGATCATTTAAAATTAAATAATGAAGATAAAATGGTCAGTTTTGACATTGTCAGTTTATATACACCTATACCAATAAATATGGCTATATAGGCAGTCAGAAGCGAATTCATTTCTGGCAAAGAACTCGAACTTAGGACGGAAAGGTCACCTGAGGACATAATGCTGGGAGTGCAGCTATGCCTGACTTCCACAGTATTTAAATCCCGAGAGAAAATATACAAACAAACTGAGGGAGTTGCCATGGGATCACCAATATCCCCGGTTGTAGCAGATATATTCATGGATAGGTGGGAAAGCATAGCGATTGAAACGTTCACCCCCACCCCAAAAGTATGGTGGGGGTATGTAGATGACACATTCACTGTACTTAGAACACAAGATATAGATAGATTTTTCGAACACGTTAACTCGAAGGTAGAGGCAATTCAATTCACTTATGAATTAGAAAGTCAGAAAGGAGAGCTTCGAATGTTAGATTGCAGCGTAAAAAGGAAACAAAATGAGAAGTTGAACACTAGTGTTTACAGGAAATCCACACATTCAAACAGATATTTTGGTTTCCGGTCATCCCATCCTATGTCAGTAAAAATAGGATTGGTGAAATGTTTGAGTGACAGATCACAAAAACTAAGTAGTGGCAAGGAAAATCTAAGACAGGATGTGACACATATAAGAGAAGCCTTAAAACCTAATAATTAACCCGACAAATTAGTCAAGAAATATGTAGGGAAATGAAAAAATAAAATAAATAATGTTAGAAGGAATAGTGATAATAACAATGATAATAATAATAATGACGACATGCATGTCAAATATGCGCAAGACAACACCAGCAATAAGGAATCTTAATCATCAGTAGTAATTCCATACAAGGAAGGAACCTCGGAAACCTTACGCAGAATTCTTAACAGGGCAGGAATAAAAGTGGTTGGCATTCAAACCCACAAACTCAATTAGAAACAAGCTTTGTCGGTTAAAGAATCAATCCTGTGGAGCCTTTAAAACAAAACAGTTTAGTTTATCTAATACCCTGCCTGCAACCATTGCTTGGTCAAATACATAGGTCAAACTAGTAGAACAGGGGTAGTCAGACTAGTTGAACATAAAAACCTAGCAAAATCTAGATTTTTTGACCCGAATAAGATAAGAAATCTAGAGAATAGTTCAGCAATAGCACTACATGCAATTACACACAACCATACAATAGGATGGGATAGGATGACAGTTTTAAAATCTAATGTAACAGGGTGAATGGAGGGAGTGACTGATAAGAGAAGCTTTGTTTATCGAATCAACTGCAAATAGGTGTAATAGGAACGATTCAACACCTGTCCCAGATATCTAGGCGATTCTAATACTCCTACGACAAATAGGGGAGGACAAAGAAAACTATAAAACTCAAGTTTCGAAGTTGTGTGATTATAATTGATGACATGATTATGAACAATAAATTTTGTTCGAAATGTCATCCAGTAAATAATACTGTTTCACTGTGTGATACATCTAATAAACATCTAATAATAAACAAACTTATATGGAATTACTTACTACCACAGTGCCTAAGTTTGACACATATATTAAGGTAACTCTGTGAGATTTTTCACACCTAAGGCTCTTCGTCTAATTCAATATGAATAACGTTTGAACTCAAATTTCATGAAAAGCACTTGGAAATGTTGACCTTCATGTTGCTGTCATATTACAAAATGCATCTGGATTCTAGTAACAATCAACTTTGTTTGTGCAACAACAGACAAAAATCTGCCAATGGATGCTTAGTAAAGTTGAATGAGTTGAATGATATTCGATTAAATCACTTTAACTTCAATGCTAAAGTGTTTTTGCTTAGGATGCCTTATCCTTTGTTAAATTAAGCGACATCATATTTATCGCTCTGAATTGACCAATTACTTGATATTTGAGCACAAACTAACAAAGAAAACACTATCCACTGCGACAGTTTCAATTTTCGGATGAGATAATCAAGACTGGTACTCGTATTGTTTCGTTAACACCTAAAAATACATTCAGGCGGATTAAGGCAAACTCGTTCAAAATGAGACCTTAGGAAAACACTACTGCTGAATGATCCTAAATCCGGTAATAAGGTCAGTAACTTGCGTGCATAAATGAAGATCACAGTTGAGACTATCGGGGTCTGCATACCCTGACAGATTATCTCCCTAAATCTCAAATTCAGAACTAAATAGCCTAGAAAGAAAGAGCAACCGGGATAGTCATAAAATTCAGGGAACTAATTGTTTCAGAAACTTCGAATCACATATGGTACTATGTCATTAGACATATAAATATTATGTATTTGATATATAGCGAAGAAGACGGTGGCTAGGTTAAAATTCATTACCTTGAAATACAAAAGACGGATTCGATTGATTTGCCTGCTTGAGGAAATGTTCATACAGAAGTTTTGAAAAAATGCAGCAACAAACATGCAAGCTCCCAAAACGGCAAACCATTTTACAGAGCTGTATATGCTTTCCGCTACAATTGATGGTGCAGTGAATTCATTGACAACACCACTAAATATAAATATATTGAGGGGAACTGCCGCACCGACTGCCGCTGCAAAAATAATCCCTGCAACTATGGCAAGTATATCTTTCTTATCTGCATATCGAAACTAAACAAAGTATATCACAAATAATTTTGACTGATTACCAGCTGAAAAAATGATATTTTTGGATGTTCACTGGGTTCACTAAAGACTATAAATAAATGGTCTTATGATTACCTCTTAGCAGTTGTTTTCCCTTGCGACATCTCATGGTAACAATCAAATAGGCGCTTGATGTAGTACGTCTCCTTTAGGGAAGGTAAACAAATATTTTCGTGAAGAGTAGTGCATTCAATATTCAATGTATTCCCGTTTGTTAGTATAAGTTAAATTAAGTACTCTAATCCAGATACTCGACGGTTAAGTAGGAATTCATGATCTTTGACTACTTTATGTGAAGTCACTCGACGGAGCTGATATTTGGATACACACTTCGGTTGGGGATAGGTGTCAAGCTTATGTTAACCCTTTCCTTAGAATGAATCCGCGCTTGTATAACGTTTTCTTGAAATAGTTGAATGATGACGTTTACACTATTTCCTCTAGGATTTGATTCCAGGGGTTGCTTACTCGGATGGATAATCAGTATTCAACCCATAAAGTTCGCCCACTACTTTGTGCTCTCTAGCTATGAGATGTTTCAGTCTGATGAGAGAGAAAAAAGAAGACACACATAGTCTTTAATCCCTTCTGAAAATTTTTGGCATTATGATCAGACATCCTCCGTGCCCACGTTATGGTAAGGAGAAAATTAAGGCCACAACATATGAACTTACCTAAATCTGTGGGCCTGAAACGAAGAGGATGATGGGACATCCACGTAAAGTGCTATAACAATTGCGTGTCCGTTATACATGGCTTTGCACTGTTTTACTTTGATGGAGACTGTCCATCACCTAGACTTAACTAAGCGATTACTGAAATCCGTTTACGATTTAGGCATATCGCTGTTTTGCGCTCATGGTACACAAAATAGGACCAAAAGCAGTGCTTCAAGCCACTGCGGAGAGTACGGTCCTTCTGGCGAAAGTCTCGAGTTGACCCTCAGTCTCTGTCTAACCTGCTGTGAATCCTCTTTTAGAGGTTGACGGTAATGACTTCCGCGGATTGTACGAAGTATACTGACTCAAGGTCTAATACACTCATCTTCTATAGTATTCGTTCCGCGTAGACCAAAGGTAAAAAACACCACAATTGATCGTCCAAATTATGAGATATATTTCGGGACCGAAGCCGGAGTGTGATATGATTGCTTAGCTGGCTAGTGATCGTGGACGACGCGACACGATGGAGTACTAAATGGCGTGGATGCTTGACCGGAAACCTTCAGCTAAACAAGTTGAATTTTTCCATTAAAATACCTTCCTATTGTTTATTGCCCTCTTCCTCTATTAACTGTTATTACAAAATATAAATGATTCTGCTGAAAAGTTGCACATGACTTCTGTCCCACCCATACTTATGTTTCAAACAAGCACTGGAGTTACACCGAAAGGCATCCTATGTACTGAGTGATAAATATTTGTATTCCAAATATTACTTGATAGCTCTCTTGTTTCTTCTTTGAAATATCCTGATCAAGGTGCCAATAAGGTTAATTGGTGTGAAGCGTGAAAGGTAGACAAGGGTCTTCCCTTATTAGTAGGGGCTTCTATTTTGTCCTCCCGAACTCGCGGTGACTTCGTGTGATAGGGATAGTCTAGTTATGTTATACAGTAGGTTACTAGCATGGGCGTCAGCAGTGCAGAGTCTGAAAACCGCAAGGTTCTGTCCATCTTCATGTTTAGTCTTCTTTGTATAGGATGACGATATCCCGGTTAAAAACGAGACCGCGTTTCTCGTCTTCTCCGTAGTGCGGTTGCAGACTATGCTATGGTTGGTGGCAAATGCCTTGTGAGGACTCTGAGGTAGTCTCGCACTGTTTTAACCGATCGCTCATCCTCCCAACAGAGCCTGTGTCAGTACTCAGTTGGATTCCCCATATAACGACTTCTTACTACGTTTCGCGCGAATATTTTTCTCTTTGGTTTCCTCCTTGCATTCTAACATAGATCTGTCTCAAGTTAGCTCTGTTCCTAGATGTTATGTATAACTTTGAAGCTCACACACGTTCCAGCACTCCTGCTTGCCTATAATCATTTCACAAATTCCTCTTTGTACCCATGAGATAGGAAATATTGTCGAGGTTTGCAAACAATCCACGAATTAAAAGGCCTGAAAAGTCGGGGTTATCATTGTGATGCAGAATTTGCACACAGCTTAAGCGGCCTGACACAGCTTCTGTGTTGTTTTGTAAATTAACTGCACTGTTCTTGGTTTCAGGGGCTATTCATGATTGTTTAACGGTTATGAGGGCCGGGATTTCTGAACCATTCATACTGCTGAAGTCGGAGTCTTTTTCCTACTACTGTTGTTATAATTACGTCAAAGTTATGCTTTATTCTGCCCAATATACTCTCCATCTACCAGTGTTTACGGACTATACAGTTTCTGACTTTTACCACCCTAAAATTCTTAATAATAAGGCTTTCTCTTCGCAAGAGCACTGTTCATCGAATTTCAATCTAACCCACTGTCTATTGTCACCACCTAATAAACATAGGTTTGTGCGACCGTAAACACTGATCACCTGACTATGTGAACATGGCACAGATCTGCGCATCTCTCACCCTGACAACACTTGCGGTGTTTTTGGCATTCAGAGGATTATGTTTATCACAGCAGGGGTTTTCCAACAAGACTGCGTCAGTGATGCCAGTGGTCTTAACAGTCGTACATCTAGCGACGCCGTCCCAGAGCACCTGATTCCTCTTCCTGGATGAAGGACATTGGCTGCTGGAAATCTTTGCGTCGAATATTAAGGGGCATTTTTCCGTCTTTAAGAGTGAAGCCATTACGGCTGTGACGACACTGGATACCTAGGTAGTACCTGTTATTCTGTTCTCCATTTTCATAAAAATCACATGGCGTCGTTGTTAGTTTCAAACAATCCAGGGTAATATTATCTACAGAGTGCCATTTTTGCACATACTCGCTAACTGCAGGGTTTTATTAATAACATTTGTTTCTGGAACAGAAACCAGCCATTTTTACAGGCATGAACATATGTACACTTATTAGAACTTATAGAATATATAATAGGATTTGTTAATTTAGAAATAAGTTGAATACTGGTAAATGTGAAAGAAACATCTAAAATGAAGTGTACAAATGAGGAAATGGATATAGCGTCAAATCTAAACTGTGATTAAAAAAATACGTGTCAATTTCACGCGGGAATTATAAATGATTGCGTTAGTTGAGGAAGGTTAGTAGCATTTCTGTACAGGGGCTGACGTGATATATAAGAGATGCAGAATTAACAATAGTTTTTAGTAAATGATTCATAGTGTTTCAAAGTCTATAAAACTTTAAATTCACTCGTAAGTACACCATATTTGTGACATTTCCAGTTGTTTATGAGACCGACTGAACTTGTCAGCAGATTTTATAATATAGGTGGTCCCGTTATTTACCAGATCAGCTAGCAATATCACGAATAAATGGAGGATAATAATAATAATAATAGTATATTCTCATTTTGTACATGAGAGACGCCAGTTTACAGGCATCATCAATATGATAAATTACATATACGATTGGCAATCATAATTAATAATAATGTTTTAACAAAATACACATTTTTTCCTACTTGTGTAGGACACACCAAATATACAGGCATGGGTAAGCATTATATAAATTTCATAAATTTGGTTTATGGTTAAGTTACATGATTGCTGGCATTTTTGTCTTAGGTCTGTGGGAACAATATGATAACAAGTCATTCAATGGAGCACATCATGAAATATAGGAATATTAACTTCGCATTAACAAAAAAACCCAAGTAAGTTTTGGATGGGTTAAAAATACTTGGGAAAAAATAAAGCTTGAAGTAATTCCTCAATATAACTTTAATAATAATAATATATATATTCTCATATAAACATATAAATTTACATGAAAATGCATGCCATTTTTACAGGCACGATCAAGTATGATATAATATCAAATCATAGATTGTCTACAAGTTAATAATGTTTCAACAGTTAAATATTTGATATATATATAAATACACATTGTCTGAACTAGGCTGTATAGTTATTGAATTGTACAATTGTCCTCCAGGTTGAGCGGGAAAATCGACTTCGTTTCGTTTTCATCCCGTGGTTGTCGGCATACGATAACCAAACAATATTGAGGTAAGTAAAATGTTAACAACGGATCGAAAGCTGTTTTTAGAAAAGTAAAAGTGCTAAGGTGAATCAATAAAGTTTAATGAAATGGGTAAGTGCAAGTATCACTAATAAATGCATTAATATAGAAAACTCCCTAGGCTGACAACGTTCATTTGCAATGTATAATGCTACGCGTATATCTCGTACTATCATGATGTCCACTTTTGGTTTTAATACATTTTTTCCTTATGTCTGTTTTTCTATTTTATGCTTTATTGTGCATTTGGTGCACAACCGTACCTCACAGAGAATAGGAATAGAATAAGTCGAATCAAATTCATAAAGAGCTATAAAATGTTAGGTTTAATGGGATACAATGAGGATTAAGTAAAGACGTAATTAGAAAATGAATGAGATAAGACATTATGAAGTGGTATTTAAAGATCCGACAATGGACAGCAAGTTAGTTTATAAGATGCCCCATAAATCTGTGCAGATCCCACATGGTCGCATCTCAACAATAGGCTGAGCGAATGGTATATATTTAAAGGTAGAAGCATGATCTGTCTAGGCGTTCATTATTATCTTTTTCAAGATAAAGATCTAAGCCCTCATAAAATTCAGAAATATCTCGAGCCTTTAATTTGTATATTGCTGTTCCTG